TAACAGAAAAGGATTCTACCTAACCTAAAATCGGTTACGGTAAAAGTAAAAAGTGAAAAATATTTATATGAAAAAAACTTAGACCCTCATTAGACCCCTTATTGGGCTGGTACTTGGGTTTTTCTAATCCCATACATAATTCTGATAATATGGAATCTAACCTGTTTCAATACCAGAAATCTTGAATCAACATTATATTAGTATTTATTATTTTACTTAAGATATTTTAGTCCTAAGCCTCGATAAAATGTGAGGGCAAGTTTTTTTCATATAATTATTTTGCACTTTTTTTTCTTACCGTAACCGATTTTAGGTTAGGTAAAATCATTTTCTGTAATAACATATGGGGATAAAAAGGAGGTAATGGCTAATGTCAATTAAAATAAACTATTTATAGTAATTCAATAATAATATGCGTCCTTTTTTTCACGCGTCCTTTTTTCGCGCGTCCTTTTTTCGCGCGTCCTTTTTTCCGCGTCCTTTGGTCTCGCGTCCTGTTTTCCGCGTCCTTTTGTCGTAGATTCTTCAGAAGTTTTAAAAGACGTCACCAACTTAGCATAAAAAACCCCAAGCTGCGGAGTACTCAAGAAAAAAAATGACAGATCCTTTCATCATTCAAGAATATTTTGATATTTTTAAACAAACTTTAATTCAGCTTAAAATAGAGGACAAGCCTCAACTCATGTGGAATATGGTTGACACATCTCACGGCCCCAAAAAAACCAAAGTCCTGGATGCTAAAGGTAAACCAAGTTCCAGAGCTACTTTTCCGGTCCAGGAAAAGAAAACACCATGGTTCTTTCAGCAGTGTCTGCATCAGGGATGCAGACACTGCTGAAATTTGGGATACCAAATATTTTTCCCTTAAAATACGATTTACCCTGGCTACCAGATAACAAGAACTCATTTCCGGGAACTGCTTACGCAGCCAGTCCCAATGGATGTATTGAGAGTGACGTATTTTTTAATTATTAAAAAAAAACGTTTATTCCCGCATTAGGAGAAAATAGGCCGGTACTGTTGATATATGACGGTCATATTAGTACCCATATTAGTATTGAACTAGTTAAATTAGCACGACAGACTGATATCACAATCATCAAACTTCCTCTTCATATTAGCCACCTTCTGCAGCCTTTGGATTTAGCCGTATTTAAGTATCTAAAAGAGGCTTGGGACCAACAACTCATAACCTGTCAGAGACATAATACTGGCCTTAAAATTACAAAAAAGTTTTCTATGACGATAGGCACCACATGGAAAACCGTAAACGATGTTGAAATGATCAAAAACGGGTTTAGACAAGCTCGTATATATCCATTTAACCGTCATGTCATATCAGAGGAAAATACCACCCTGAGAGCTCAAAAAGATGGAAAGAACAAAAGAGTTTAGAAGACCAAACAATAGTTGTAGCTGAAACCACAAATATTATTATGTAATGATCAGATTATGGAAAACCATACAACCAATATTTCTAATGCAACTCCAAGGAGTAGTTCTTCTAAAATAAGTTTCGATCAGCTGCTACTAAACACTGTTAAACAGACAAATAAGCAAAGTCCTTCAGGCTCAAAAAAAAGTAGCTGCAGGGGGAGAAGTCGTTACTTCCGAAGAAGTTCTGAATAAACTTACAAGAAGAAAATAGATTGAAGAATGTAAAAGAAATAGAAAAACAAACAAAAGAAGAAGAACGCAGAAAGAAAAAAGAAGCAAAAATTCAAAAACCATAGAGGATTAAGAAACGAGAAGAAACTTTTAGTCGCTCAGAATCGGAAGAAGATTTGGTAGAATATGTTGACTCTGAAGATGATATAGATCCTGAAATATTTGAAGAAAACGAGAAACTAATTGAGAAAGAAGTGCCAACATTTGGAGAGTTGGGAGAGACCCAAATCGCGCTGGGTATTTGTGTTGTAGAGTACACATCTAAAAAACATATTAAACGTTTTATTGGAAGAATTGATATGAAAATGAATGGAAAATTTGCTTTTTAAGATATAAAAAGAGTAGTAACACCTTTTTTGGCTTGATATAGAAGACACGGATATAATAGTTGAAGACGATATCGTAAAAACTTTACCAAAACCAGTTAAAGACAGAAAGGATCATTTTATTTTTGACGTAAATGTCTGTAAGCATTCTTGGAAGAAAATATCATGACTTAAAACATCTCTTAAATCATGCAAAATATGTCATAAAAAACATCTAACTGAAAACTAGTTCACACTTCGACAGTTTCACCTTACACCAGAAAATAAAAAAGCTCACAGTATTTTAGAGAATCTCATAATGAGACAAGTATTTTGAGATATATCTATATATAAAAGAGAAAACATACAAGGAAAATAAAACCAAACAAAAGAGTGAAATGGTGCTTTTGGATCTAGCTCTAACATTTGTCAATAGTTATTAAATTCCTTTCTAAGAATATAAACAATTCTGCTTGTTTTTATTGTGAGATTGCTAGATTTAAACACTTAAATATCTGTACGTATCAGTTCCAAAAAATTCACAAATGCCCATCTCTACCGCTGAATAGGAGAAGGGGGCATTGGTAATCTATTTACAGCACACTTGAAGACACAAGGAAACGTGTCCAGAAAGGCACTACGCGATTCAAACCTAGAGTTTATTGGATATTCATATTTTACTCTTGTATTCAGGTTGTTTCAGCTCAATCGATTAGCAGTCGGGTCAAATCATGCAGCGAACCTGTAGGGAAGAGTGGGTCACAATGGATCAGTTTTTCGCATTTAAATATCACCAAATCACTGCTTTCTCAAATCACGTTGAAAAAAGTCTAATATAGTTCCAAAGAAAACGTTATTTGTTGGCGAATAATACACAAAGTTTCAAACTGGTATTAAAAAAATACAATAGGTTTGTTTTATTAGTACGGTCGAACAAGTATCTCGTGCAATAAAAAGTCACCGAACAGAAACACATTTGAAAGTGGGGGTCCAGTAAAGCCATTCGTGCAATAAGCGTTATAAAGATGCAAAAAGCAGAAAACAGGAGACATCGGGAGAGGAATGACAAGAGGGTGAAGAATATAAAGGATACAGAAAAACAAAGATAATTCATTCTAAGACGTAATAGTTCTTTAATATAAATAATTAGACAAAGATGTATAACATATTAAAATAAAGGAGAGAATACTACTAATAAAACGACATAGAGTCGTTATGCCAAAAATGAGTTACAGAGGAGGTTTGGCATTACAACGAAAGTGGGCCATACAACACAAAATATCTATATCAAAAAGTAAAAGACTAATTAAATCCATATGGGACGTATATTTGCAAAGGCTTCATAGGAGAGAGAGACAGGATGACTAAATGACATAAAAAAAAGAAAAAATGAGAAGAACAGAAAATCATTTCGAATAAGTGAACCATCAGCACAAAATGAAACAACCCTTTTCTAATTAAGAACTCTTTCCAGTCGAATTATGCCTTACAATTCGAGGTACCGTCGTTTCCATGCCATTACACAACACAACAATCATCATCCTCAAGAGACTGGACCATTTCAGTTCTCAGATTCAAAACACCTATATACACACCAACTGACATTTAAAACACTGACACGACATATAACATACAAATTCTTAACTACACACCACATCCAAATTTCACACCAAAACTCATCATGCATAGCCATTCCACAAATTACAGAGTATTCCCACCAACTACAAATTGTCCCAGACACCTTAACACAGGCAGCCCTTCAAAATATGACATCGACCACATGGCACAATATATAAAAAGCCTCATCTCAACTTAGAGTCCATACAAATATTTACAGTTGTCGAATAGAAGGTCGGTATGCCAGTCAGTATGCTCATATCTTTTGTGACCCAGCTTATTTTCAGTAGTCGTCTGTATACCCACATCTCAAAGGCTGTCAAGCGTTTAAGGATAGCCTCAGTTAGAGTCCACGCTTCTACTCCATACAGCAGGACAGGAAAGATGTAGCAATATGTCATTCAAACTCTAAGGTCAATGCAAAGATCGTGACTGTTTCTCATTTTTACAAAGGCAGCTCGGGCTTGTTCTATTCGGCTTTTAATTTCTGCGGTTGAATCCCAGCTCTCATTGATATTACTGCCGAGATACATGAGTTTCTCTACTCTGTCCAGTGTGGCATCTCCGACTTTTATACCGTCATCCTGTATAAAATTTTGTTTGCTAACTATCATATATTATTTAGTTTTCTTAACGTTGAGTTTTAATCCATACTGATCACAAGTCTGTTTTATTTTGTTGATTAGATTTTGAAGGTCTTCTCCGCAATTAGCAAGGACTAAGGTATCGTCGGCATATCTAATATTGTTGACGGTTACTCCATTCACAATAATACCTTCGGTTGTCTCCATTAAGGCTTCTTTAAATATTTCCTCCGAATATAAGTTACAAAATAAAGGCGACAATATCAAACTCATGTTTTACAAAATAATTTTCTGCATACAAATTTTTGTACAATGTATGGTCAGGCCTATGATTATATCGTTTTACACTTTTTGAAGATTCGAGATGGTTTCTTCATTCATTAATATTTTTCACTTCTTTGTTGTATGCCTATTTTTGATGTATTATCCCACTGGTTCCGTCTATCCCCCTATCCTATCGTTAATCAGATTATTGCTTCTCGTGGTATGTACTGCACTGCAATCTCAATAACTTCTCGCTTTCGCTCTTTGCCTCTCGTAAAATCTACATTAAGGGTCGGTGAATGTTTGACATTAGCTTCTTTGATTTTTCTCTTTTTAACATCTATTTCTTTCAGAGCTAGGTGAACTCTATTCTCATTTTCCCATGTGAGTCTACATATTTGAGATCTATTGAATTCTCTCTTTTTAGTTATTCATTCAGAGGCACACTTGTCGTAGGACCTCCAAATCTTTCTATTTTGAATTATTTTTGCAGAAAAACCAGTTATTAAAAATAAAGTAAAAATAATTTTATTTACTTACACAGTACAAAAAGTTATAAAAGAAATTTACAAAGATCAATATTTTTATAGAAGAAAACAGTTTTTATTTAGTTGTTAACTTTAAGTTATTTGACAACAGATAGATTAAAGTAAAATAAGATTAAAAAATGAATAAAAACATTCGTTTAAACGTGTGTTTAAAATACTAGCCACTAACAAAATCGATTTTGTATCCAATATATCATTCTATTGTAAGCTAAAATAACTTTAAATTTGGATAAATCAATAACAAAGCCTAATTGGGTAACTGTTGACCTTGAACGCATAATTTTGGGCGTCCAACGTGGGGAATGATCGTAAGAAAATATTTTGGTACACACAAAAAAAATGAATGTTTTCATTCGACAAATTTCGTTGTAATTGTAAACGAAGCTGAAAAAATTTAAAAGAATCTTATTAGGCACTCTGTCATCTTCCAGAATGTTTTGGCGGTATCTTCCAACTTCAGCAAATCAAAGTAATTTGCTCCTACATAAAATGCAGGCCAGTAAAACAAAATATTGTGATAATGTGATCAATAAGGAAAACAAAACAGATAATCCAGAGAGGTTCAGGTCTTCCCTGAACGCAATTTATTGGCAATTCGTTTTCATCTAAGGATCATTCATCTATTCCAAAAAAGCTCGTCTATCACGTCTTCTTTTTCATATAAATTAAGTCTCCCCTTCAGGATGATCAGCCAATTCCGGCACCTTAAACAAATCCAACATATGTTGAATGGTCACAGCATTTTTTTCCCAGTTTTGAGCGTTTGAAGTTGTCGCCTGATGTATATTTTCTTCTATGGTGTTTTTCATCAGAAACTTGTGTATAAAGGTATTTCTGAAACAGATACAAACTAATGAAACGATGGGAACTCATCAAGGGAGGTTAAAAAGTTGGTATGAGGATTGTATAAAATATATTTTTTTAAATTTTGAATATCATTACCTTTTCTGTCCTATTCGGTCAATTCTCCCGATTGCTTGTAGTTCATCCGCAGGATTTAAAAGAGGTTCGGCAAACATAACGTGATTAGCTTCGATTAGATTTAGACCTTTGGATCCTAACTGCACTGGTAAGAGGAGCACTGTAATATTTTTGGCAGGATCCTAAAATATTATTTAGTTTTCAGTATAAACATTATGACAACTAGATGAGATTCAATGATTAGATAATAATATGTCCCTACGATATTTGTCCTAACACTAGTTCAACAATAACTCTTCTTCTCATTTCAGTCAAAGGTCTGGTTAGTACTTCCTTTGTCAGTCTATTACAAAAACAGGACAATAATCGGAGGCATGTAAATATTCAAAGTTGAGATATTTTTTCAACCAATTGGTCAGAGAGTTGATCAAAAGTGAAGAATTTTGAGTGACAGTTACCGAAAAAGTAAATTATCAATCACTGGTAGCTTCTATAAAGTCAGAGGACGGAGTTAAGGCAGTTTTTGTCAACTGGAATATTGGGTAGTTGACCAAAATGAGTATTTTTGGATAGTACTGACTGGAGGAAGGAATTAACAATGATTGCTGGCATGTAGAAGGATAGTGTTTTTTTAAAGGATTGATCAAATAGTTGATTAAAAGTAAAGAATTTTGAGTGATAGTGGCCGAAGAATGAAAACATCGACAGTAAACAATCATTTGAATGATTTTTTTGTTCTTTTCATACCATAGGCACTGCAAATCTAAAAGCTTTTTTATTCCTTCTTCGACCACTTCCTTAAATCCTCAATATAACATAACATACATTGTGAGGAGCCCAACCTTTGTTTTTGTTACCAATTTGCACACCAATACTTAAAAGCGTATGAATCTACCACTGAAAAGTGAGGTTATGTTTATTAGAATAAAGGAACTATACAGCTGTTAATGAAGAGAAAGAAGAACAAAGAGTGTTGTACAATTCAGTAACAGTGCTACCAAGCAAGTAACATTATATTTCTTTTCTCGGTAAACAAAATAAAATGTAATTATGCAATTTTTTGTTAAATTGTGAAAGAACAAGCATTTTTAATATGATTTTCGGACTCGCCACACTAAAATATATAAGATAGAGGAAATTTTATCAAAAAAGTTTTTTCATCATTGGTCTGTGTTATTAAATACTAACCTTAAAGCTTGTAATTTTGGCATCTAGGTTTCCACTCAGTGCCAATTCAGACGAAATGTCATTTTTATCGAGTGCCTTCTTTACAGTATCCAAAACGTTTTTCCACGACGAAAAAAGCAACACTTTGGCGTCCTTGTCTTCTTTCTTCAAGTCGATTAATACTTTCACTATTTGTGATATTTTCGTGGAGTAACTGCCTTTTATTTGTACAGAGTTGTCTTTAGTAGTTTCCACAGCGTTAATATACGAGACTTCGTTGTAAAGCTGCCTATTTCTGCACACAGAACAGCTTATCACGTCTCCTGAAGCCTAAAGAGAGGTGGATGAAGATTAAAAAACTTACAGTTTAAAATTATTTCTTACATGTAGTTATATTACAAGCACATGGCAAACAAAAATTGTTTTCATAAGTTATAATAACTCAAGTATATTTATAATCCATTGATACCTGTTCTAAAATCACTTGTATACACTCCAAACAGTAGCAATGGCCACAGGATAAGATGCTCCAGTGTAGTTCCAATTGATTTTGGCAAATAGGGCAAGGATCTGGACTTTGACCTTCATACTGTTGCTTCCTTAGGGTCTCTAAGTAACCCTGCGTGCCCAAAAGCTTCTCTAACTTTGTTGTATTGTTCTGAACATCGTTTTGTAGTAACATCAACTGATAATCGAGCTAAAGAAAAAGCAAAAAGTGAAAAAACGTTTTGTTTTATTAAATTTCTAAAGCTTACCTCGTGAACGCTGAGTAAATGTATGGTTTCATGTTTGTTGTCTAATTCGTAGGTTAAATTTTTCAATACTTTGTTAGCCTTCTTTTCTTCTTCATCGGGCTTGAGTTGCAACCTAACTTTGCAAATGTCTAATTCATCCATAGCACAAATCTGTTGATCTAAGAATGTCCAGAACTTCCGCAGTTCCTAGAAATAACAAATAAATTGTATAAATAATACTGTAATATTCGATTTGACTCTGAACATAGTAGCTAATGCGTGTTTTAAAATCGAGCTCTTAAAAGTAATTTAAAAACTAGTGAAAGACTATAAATCTATAGTCATAACAAATATAATAACAAATATAAATACAACAGAAACAGTAAGTTACTTTAATCATAACATTATATTAAAGATCTTTAAATAGATATTTCTTGTCAATTATCATGGCTATTATAAATTTCACAACTAATGATCATGGACATCGGATACCAAGATCCGGCAGGGAAGGCAATTCTCAGTTAGACTGCGTGGTCTCCCAGGTCGCCAACATGAGAAAACCCCGCGTCAGGCACAAAAATATAAACGAACTGCAGATAGGTACCTGGAATGTCAACTCTATATATGAAGCAGGGAAGATTCACAATGTAATACATGAGATGAGGCGACTTTAAGTCAATATAATGGGACTAAGCGAGACTAGATATCCTAGATCTGGCGAAATCGAAGTCGACTTTGCCTATATTTTTCATTGTATTTACCAATCTACTACAACAGACTAATAACAAAAATAAACTTAATGGTTTGTAGTTATTTCCTTTCTTTCCTGTAAATATTTTATGGTTAACACCTTATTTGAGAAACATCTAGAGGAATGAGATTGGCAACACCGCTCAAAATATCCATCTGACTGCTTAGATAAACGAAAGAGGGCTTGCCTAAAGCCGGCCACTCACGATACAGCGTCACGATACAGAATCCAGCAGGCCGCTGATGTATTGGATTTTTATAATATAATTATTTGACAACCTTTTGTTGGCCAACCACGTAGAGCTGAGTTGAGAAGAAACACATATATTTCGTATGTTTCGAATTTATCTCGTTCAATCTGTAGATAATACGGGTATTATTCCGAGAGATTCCGAGAGAAAAATTTACATTTATTACATTATCAAAAAACCTAATGCAAGGGAATGTAATGACCACCGTATAATAGTCTAATGAGTCACACATTAAAAATATTTTTAAAAATTATCCATTTAAGAATTATCAGAAAAGTGGAACAAGACATCACTGAAACCCAATTTGGATTTACGAATGCCATGGGTACACGAGAGGCATTATTTGGATTTAACGTCCTCATGCAAAGATGTATGGATGTAAACCAACCAGTCTATGTTTGTTTTATTGATTACAATAAGGCGTTCGATAAGGTCCGACACAATCGTCTTATACAGTTACTTAAAGTAAACACATAGACAAAAAAGACTTAGGAATAATAACTCATCTCTACTTTAACCAAACAGGAAAATCAGAGTAGGCTAACAACTTTCGGAGGAAGTAGAGATAAAAGAGGCGTAAGGCAAGGTTGCATACTCTCCCCCTTATTGTTCAATCTATATTCGGAAGAAATAATTAAAAAATCACTCGAAAATGTAACAATTGGAATAAAAGTCAACGGCAGACCCATAAACAATATCAAATATGCCGATGATACTATACTAATTGCAGAGAATATACAAGATCTACAGACACTTTTAGATAATGTAGTATATGCTAGTGACGAAAGCGGACTAACGCTTAATGCTAAAAAAAAACAAAATTTATGACAATTTCCAAAACACAACAACAAGACTTTTTAAACATAAGAGGGATTCCAATAGAAAAACCGGAGAAATTGCATTTCCATCGACTTGTTCAGAGCTGCAATCTCAAAAGTGAAAATAGCTGTGATGATTACCAATCTCCTTAGAGGAGACGGTACCTAAAGAAGGAGAAGAAGAACCTAACTTTACATCTCAACTAACTTACCTTAAACTCCTTCTTCATGGTGTTAATCATACTCATTTGTATGCCGCCATCTTTAATGAATTCTGGTTTCGCCCCATGCACTCTTAGGACGCTGCGTAATGCTAAAATAAAGTGAATGCAATATAAAAGTCTTATGTTACACACAAAAAGAACACAAACGAGTACATAGTAAAGGTAAAAGAAATATCATTGAGAATCATTGAAAAGTAAATATACCAAGTGTGTTCTGTTACCGAAAAATTGAATAATAATTAATCGGAGGCATTTAGAGAGTCATAGAGTGAAGAGTTAAAAGGGTTTTTGTTTGAATGAAGATTTTTGTAAAATCATGAATGTGTTGCTTGTGTGAGTCCATTTCAAATAGGCAAAGAAATAATAAATAAGACTTACTCACAATCAATATAATTTTACTATCAGACGACCGGTTTCGCTTTCTACAATATGCAAAGCATCTTCAGGTCTCGATCATCTCGAGCATCATCTTGATCAGATCATCTCGAGCATCTTATTTAACTTTGTATCGAGACCTGAAGATGCTTTGCATATTGTAGAAAGCGAAACCGGTCGTCTGATAGTCAAATTAAATTGATTGTGAGTAAGTCTTATTTATTATTTCTTTACCTATTTGAAGATTTTTGTGTAGTAGCGACGGAAGAAATCAATAAACATGAGCCGGAGAGGTTTTAAGGTCAAAGAATGGCGATAAGAAAAGTTATTGGCAATTAGATAGTCGGAAAGTTGACCAGAATGAAGAATTTTTGTAAGTAGTAGCTGAAATAGTAAATAATCGATGTCCAGAAACTTCTAGAAAGTCAGAAAGTAGGGTTAAGGAAGTTTGGCCAACTGATTATTAAACAGGGAAGTTAATCAAAATGAAGATTTTAGTGGAATAGTGGCTGAAGAAATAAATAATTATGGACTGGAGATGAAGATGCACTAGAAGGTGGTGATATTGAGTGTATTGGTAATTAGACAGTCAGAAAGTTGACCAAAATAAAAAATTTTGTATAATAGTGGCTGAAGAAATGAACTATAAATGAACTTGGGCTTCTAAATAGTCAGAATGTCGAGCTAAATGATTTTTTGTCAACTACATTATCAGGAACTTGATCAAAATAAAGATTTTTGTCTAGTAGTGACTAAAAAAATAAATAATCACGGACTGGAGACATCTAGAAGGTTATGGTTTAATTTAAACTGTTTACTTGGAGAGTTAATCAAAATGTTTGTTAGTAGTAGCTCAAAAAGTAAATAATCAATCAGCTGATGCTTCTAGAAAATCCTATGGTGGAGCTAAGGGAGCGACGGGGAGTTAAGGAAAACTGATTTTTGTATAGTTGTGACTGAAGAGATAAATTATCTGGACTGATATTATTTAATGGCCAAAGGGTGGCGTTAAAGGTTTTTTTTAACGTCTACTAGAAAGCTAATCCTCCCAACACCGGACCAAACCAAATTAGATGGCAAACACCAAGTCACAATGGTTCTTCTCAGAGCCAACACTGACAGTAGCGAACATAAATAACGAGGGAATAACTACAAGCAAACAAGACATCTTATCAGAATTGAATCTTATCAAAGTCTGTTACTTACATTGCATAATGACTTCTGGTAATGTCGGCTTCCAGTTACCTTTCAACGACATCTCATCGAACATCTGCCCCCTTTGTGTCATATTAAACAAATTCAACTCGTACCTTTTCAAACACTCATTAGAGACACACACTGGACACTTGATCGTCGCTTTTTGCCCTTTTTTCTGTGGCCGCAAGTGACAGTTCATTGCCTTGTTCACCACAGACCTCTTGATGACAATTTTATGAATGCTGTCCGGTTTGTAATTGTAGAGATCGGTAACGGCGACGATTAATTCCTCTCTTAAAATCGACAAATTGTTATGCCAAGTGTATAGGAGATGAAGAATGTTCCCGTGGCTGTCATTTCTAAACAAATAAATATTATAAAAAATATATATAACATGAGATAAGTATATTACGTTTAAAAAGTAGGTGGAAATTAAATAGTATTGACGATTTGATAAAATCCAGGTCTGTAATTAACGGATGAGCTAGCTGGCCATCGAATATTGTAACGAAAATATTTTGCCTACCACAGGGGGCATTAATATAAGGGGTAGAAAATTGGGGGAAGAAACTAAGGGGGTGGAGATAAGGCAAGCAAAATAATCGCTACTTATGCGAACGGCACTCAGGGTTTCGTAGGAGAGCTGGGGTCGTGGATAAGTAAAAGATAAAGGGGATTGGAATGGGGGAACTACAAAAAATGAAATAAAGGGGTCATTAATCTCTTGGAACAAACACAATAAAAATAAACAAGAAACACCTCAAGGAATTTAATATAGGGCGCCACTTGAGGTGCCTAATTATACCTATTACAACCACTAGTTGTAACTAGGGAAATAATTAGAAAACAAAATCAAAACATAAAAAACATATCTTTTTCAAATAAACTCAAAAAGGGTTGGCTCAAAAAAATAAATAAAAAGTTAAGACAACAAAATTTAACTTTTATTTATGTGTCACCACAAACAGTTACATGGAGAAACAACAAAACACAAAAACTTGGAGAAATACAAAATTCAAAAAACTTACATGTGTCATCCATTAACAAACTCCATTTCTACAAAACTTACAAAATTGCATGGAGGTTAACCTTTTAAAAAAAAAACAAAACAAATCAACATCAAAAATACTAAAACGAGCTGTCGTAAATTAACATTAAATTTAAAAAAAAACTAAACACAAATTGACAGCTTTACTCAAAACCTAAAATTTACAATCTTAAATGTTAACGAAAGCAATTATTATTTTATAAAAAAAATGTCTGTCTTTAGTTTAAAATTTGAACAAAATGTTACCTTAATTCACATGATCACATATAACTTTCTGAAACCATAACTGGAACCTGGAACTGAGGGCTCCACTCTCTCGGCATCACGAAAACCTCCATATCCAAACTGCCAAAAGCCTTGGATAAAAACAGGAACAAAAAAAACGAGGATGTCCTCCAATCCTCACTCAAAACATTAATAATTGAAGCATTTACTGCTACAAAACCAATAACAAACTGCTACATATTCTTCATAATAAAAGATGAAAACAGAACACTTTACAAATTCGACGTGAATTTGGACATAACGTTGAACCTTTATTCAAAGCTGCTACAACGAGAGTGAAGAAATTCTATTAAAATTGAACGCATACATACAAACGCTGACATAACAAGACACCATGAAACGACGTACATATCCTTTTGCGACGCATAAACTTGAAAAGAATTTGCCGAAGTAAAATAAATAAACAACTCTAAAATGGTTTATTTCAACTTGGCCGACCTAAGAAAGAAATGAAAAGATATTTGGGTTTAAATACGTACGAAATATTTTTAGATCTATCAAAAATATATAAGGTGATTTTAATATTTCGTATACGAGGGGACTTCAATATACTTCAAAGAATCAATGAAATTGAAAATGCTACAATATGAGTGTAGTGAGGTCACACAATATTGCACAATATTTTAAATGACTTCTTTTGTAATATTCACTCATAAAATTATCTTGGTATTGTTTATAAGAATTATATCAGGCAGTGGTGAAGCAAAGTACATTGTTAAGCAGGCCAAGATCTACAAATGGTTGTAGTGCCATTAGAAGAAGAAGAAAAAGAAGTTGGCAAATCAAAAAAGTGAAAATTTTTATGAATAAGCATAATTTTACAATTTTTGACATTTTTCTTTTAATTTTTGCCTTGCTGTCCTTTAAACGAAGATTTCAACTCCTTAATTCTAAAATACATTCTTGACCTAAAGAAAAATGTCTACATTATCGTCACAATCAACATTATTAGCTGATGTTTTTAAGTTTTAAAACAATTTTTTCCTGGTTTAAGTCCACTCCCATGAAACTGGTTGAAAATATATTTATTATCTCATAACTTGCGATTTGCATTGTCACTATTGATAACCGATATTTTTTATACAAGCCTTTTGTATTGTTGGTGTAAAGTCGTCTGAAGTCGATATTTATTGTGTTTTGCGTTTTAACTAATTTGTGCCTTATTTCATATTATATTGTTTGGTAAGTAAATTTTGCACATAATAATCGGTAGGTTATAGTAATGTGTATATTTTTTATTTTACTAAATTTCATTATAACGCATCTAAAATACCATATTGAATAATTATAAATCAGAGTTTTCTTTATTGCAATCTATTTTGTTTTTACTTCAGTAAAATTGCTTGGAAATGAGTGACAGTGAATCAGAATACGCAAATCTACTACTATTTACCTATTCACAGTATTTCCTCTGCACAAAATTTTTAAATTCCAACGGATTTGAATACAAAAAGAGTGCTTATATTATCAGGATATGTATGAAAACAAAAATAAATATTTGGTCTGAAACCCCAAGAAAAGTAAAGGTTGTACGCTCCTGAAAATATATTTTTTATTCGATTATACCCAAAACAAAACATTTAAAAAAAAAATCGATCATTTTTTGACCATAATTTAAAAATTCATGTGTATGTTATGCTGTAATAATGGGTTCGAGCCATTTTGAGCGGTCTTGACTACGTCACACTCCTGGGCCAGCTGTCAAATGTCATGCGCAATATCATACCTTGTATTCATTGTACCATGTGATGTCATCCACTACGATTATGTTGGGCCTGTTTACCATTTCGTATGGTAAAAAAAGGGTATGAGAAAAAAGTTTACCAAGCCCAACCTCTGCAGAAAGTATGGAGCTGTCAAAATTTTGCAGGACTCAACAGGTCACAATTTTGATTCACAATCTACAATGACGTCACAATTTTGATTCTCTGTTTCATGGTGGACAACTAAAAATGACAACCGTAGTATTTTACTTTCGTCAAAGAAATCAAACTAATCGAAGACGTACTTGTCAAAATTTTTGGAGCCTTTCAGGATTGCACATATATAAATATGTACGTAAAATGTATTTTTCACACACAAACATCCGTTAATATATTTAAAAGAACTAAAGTAATAAAAAAGACAATTCTACATACTCCCTAAACGTACTAAATCATCAAAGTTTTCTGTCAATTATACAACATACCTTACTTCATTTATAATGCCGACTGTATCGCATCCTGCAGTTATTTTAGTATCCAATTCTGTCAAAAAACGATTCACAACGACCCACTCCAAACCGTCCGAATACCACTGACCATCTTTGAGCAAAAACCGCTTCTGCAACTCTTCTATAGCCAACGTAAGCGATTGAAAATTCTCGAACGCCGCGCACGACTGAAAACAAATTATATATTAACACATCTGGATACTTTGAAAATTTGAGTTATTGTGCATGTATCTCTTCAAGTCTACTACTTAAGTACTCGAATAACCGTGGTTTTTAGTTGCCCCTGAAGATTTTATTTAGCATATATTTTAGTTTAACAGAAATGAACTCGACTCTGTAACTAAACGGTCGAGCAGCTCAAAGAAACAAAAATTTCTGTGCCTTCGCGTAAAGAAACAAGCAACTACGAGCCTATAAACAAAACCTCGCACAGGGCAGTCTTATCGTCATCGATAGGCAAAGAAATACGGATTACACAATGGACCCTTAATTCGATAAATGATGAGCTTTTTTATAAAACTGCATAAATCCGCTTTTCAAAATTTTCAGGAGGCGTAAAAATGTGATGCAACTGTTGTACTAAAATTTTCGAAATTAATCACGATCAATTATATCAAGAGAAAGTAATCACTTGAGGTTAGATTTAGAGAAATAAAACGTTAATTAACATTATTTTGTACAAACGCAAAGTGTGCTCTATATCGTGATATCAGTGTTAGTACCGCGACACACGTGTTTAGAAACCGGTGCCAGGACAGATTCCGCATAAGAAGAAAAACCGTGAGTGTGTGGAGCAAAAAAAATATTGGTAAGACTTTGTATAAACTTAATTAATTATAAATTTGCTATTGTAGTAATAATTTCCCACATATGTAACCCTTTTTGTACACCTTGATTGACAATCTTTCCAATCCGCAGTAGTCGAGAGACAGGTTCATTCATTGAGAAAGCAAAATACTTTTTACAGACAGGAATCATGCCTTTCTGTTTCTAACTATTTGGAAAAAATTTCACAGAAACAGGCGCACCACTTCCTCACTTTCTTTGGGACTCGAAAGCAGAGATATATTTATTCAAAACAAGATCTTGATCTGCCATATAGACTGCTTGTCGATTAATTTTTATATCATCGTAAGATACCGTAGCACAAGATTTTTCTAATTATGGGCACATGGTCTTCTGTTTTAGAAACACTAAATGAGGATCACTATCGTTGTAATTCATAATTTTTGAACGCCCTCCCTCACATGTTTTGATGGATCGTCTTTTTTTAGATCCCAACGATAAATTAGCAACACTATCCATCTCAAAGTCAAAGGAAAGACGTAATTGCTGTATTTATTGACTATGAAAAGGCCTTTGATCGAGTACAGCATCACAAATTAATTATAATATTAAAAGATAAAGGAGTTGATAGTCAAGACATACGATTCATAGAAAAGTTATACTGGCGTAAAAACGTGGACAGCTTGCATAAACGGAAAATCAACAGAAATATGTAAAATACAAAGAGGTGTCAGACAGGGTTGTATACTATCCCCACTGTTATTTAATTTATATTCAGATAGAATATTTAAAGAAGCGCTGCATAATTTGGAATGGGGCGTGAAAGTTAATGGAATTCTGATAAAAACAATCAGATATGCAGACGATACAGTTATTTTAAGTGATGACATGAATGGATTACAATGCCTTTTAAATGCCATTGATACAGTGGGAAGAGAATTTGGCCTAAACATAAACTGTGCAAAAACAAAACACATGGTGTTTAGCCGTTTAGCACATCAAGATGCACGATTATATGATGATGGTCATATAATTCAAAGAGTGTCCAGTTTTAAATATCTTGGTTGCCATATTACTGAACAACTAAATCCAGATCAAGAGATAAAATGTAGAATCGAGATAGCCTGCACGACATTTTTAAAAATGAGGTCATTCTTCTGTAATGATAACTTGCAACTTCAACTTCGAAAGCGCATGATTAAATGCTACATTTGGTCAGTCCTCTTATACGGTGTCGAAGCATGGACATTAAAAATATCCACCATTAATCGTCTGGAGGCCTTTGAAATGTGGCTGCACAGACGTATACTAAAAATTCCATGGGCGGCTATGCTGACAAATGTGGCAGTCCTTGAGCGAGAAAATGCTGCTCGCGAGCTGCTTGATAACATCAAATGTAGAAAGATGGCCTATTTTGGACACGTAGTAAGGGGAGACCGATATAATATGCTTCAACTTATTATGATGGGTAAAATCGAAGGACGCAGAGGAATTGGTAGAAAGCAGGCCTCTTGGTTAAAGAATATCAGGAAGTGGACAGGAATAAAGAAAGCTGAGCAACTATTTAAAATAGCTCGAGACAAAGACAGTTTCGCTATGTTAATCGCCAACGTCAAGGTCACTTAATAGGGCACGTTAAGAAGAATCCATCTCAAAATAACACGCAAAACAGAGAAACAACGTTGACATACAACGAATTCATAACATCCCGTCTCATCGAACGGAAAAGTACCGATAATCTCATACAGCGTGGCATGGCATGGCCGTGAGTAGTTTTAGAACTAGCGAATATTATATTTTGTTTCAAATGTTTGGGAAAGTATGTACGAATTCTTTTCATATTTTTTCATTTAATATTTTTCTGTTACGGTGCTGTAATGTGATCTAATTCAATACTGTATTCTAACAACTTTATTAAAATATATTTCTTCCTGTAATTTCGTAAAACTTGCTGGCTATCTCATTTATTATGTTTTAAGTACGGAGAATTTGGCTTTCTTCTTTGTATTTTTGTCGCCAAAGCTTTACAAGTGTACAGTTTCGTATTACCGTGACAATTAACTTAAATGATCGCCATTTGCCTACGAGCTGTTGACCACCCAACGGTTAGAGGGTGGTTTTTGACCTCTAACGATCTCAAGACACACTTCAGACCAAGACAGTGAGCGAAACACATCTAGTTTGATCGGTTCTCGTGCTATAGCCTCGGCGTCCCGGGCGTCATGATGCATCGCGGCCCACTCTTCAGCCTGCTACGAATACATCAATAGAACCAAAGGGTAAGTCTATGTTCTTTGTACATACAACAATAACGAGTAAGACCAGTTAATTTCGTAATTTATTTACAATTGATAGTTGCTATTTTCGCAAGGTTTTTGAGTGGATTAATTAAGTTTTGTGGAGGAAACGTGTTTGTTAGGTTAGGTTAGGTAAAATCAGCATTAAAAATACTACCAATTTTGATAAATCGACCTATATGTTATTATACTCACCTCAGAGATGAATTTCTCCAAATATTTCGTCTCCAACTCTTCGCAATCATTCCGCAAACTGCTATCTCTTAAGGTAGGATGCTCCGGTGGGTAAATATCTAACACTTCTGCAAGATTATACAACGTGTGGATAACTTGTGGTTTGTCTACCGTAAGTTTTATTTTACTATTTTCCACGGAAAATTTAGCGACCAGCTGTAACACTTCTCTGTACGTATTTATAGCTTCTTGTGGATTTTGCAAGAGTAAATGGATACCGGCTATACCTAAAGTACAAATTAATTAAATCATGAATGTGTTGCTTGTGTAAGTCCATTTCAAATAGGTAAAGAAATAATAAATAAGACTTACAATCAATTTAATTTAACTAGCAGACGACCGGTTTCGCTTTCTACAATATGCAAAGCATCCTCAGGTCTCGATACAAAGTCAAACAAATGCTGAAATAATAAAAACCCATATTAGGGTGTTGTCTAATAACGATAAACAAAGTAGATGTTGTAAATTACAATAATTATGCCAATATTACATGTCTGTGGTTTTATTTAAAAGAGTAAATTGAATAAAAAGTATAAAAGTTTTAAAAGTTTAAACAGACAAGGTAAGGCCCACAAATTGTTATAAAATAGTCTCTTCGATTGTAATAAATTAATAAATGAGCAAATAAATAAAATAAACATTACTTACATGCCGGTACTCTATTAATTGATGGATGGTAGAACATGGTTGAAACTACTATGTATTGTTGAATGGAGAACTCAATTCTATTATTGCAGTTGTTTGACAGTAAACGGGAAGTTCTTGAGGAGATAGATTTGATCCAATGAAGAAGAGATATGTGTGTGATTGTTTGTTAAATGAAAAAGATGTAATATACCATTGTGTTATTAAAAGTTATTCTCTCGATTATATCTCTCGAATAAGTATATGCACATTTTTGCACATATTTGCACATTTATTAATTTACTACAATCGAAGAGACTATTTTATAACAATTTGTGGGCCTTACCTTGTCTGTTTAAACTTTTAAAACTTTTATACTTTTTATTCAACTTACTCTTTTAAATAAAACCACAGACATGTAATATTGGCATAATTATTGTAATTTACAACATCTACTTTGTTTATCGTTATTAGACAACACCCTAATATGGGTTTTTATTATTTCAGCATTTGTTTAACTTTGTATCGAGACCTGAGGATGCTTTGCATATTGTAGAAAGCGAAACCGGTCGTCTGATAGTTAAATTAAATTAATTGTGAGTAAGTCTTATTTATTATTTCTTTACCTATTACAAATTAATAGTTTAGTAAAAATATAAAAGTATATATACAGGGTAAGTTATTAAGCTCTTTGTGGCTTACTTTATCGAAAACCTTGTAATATATGAAAGAGACGTACATTTTAAGTGTGTGAGACGTCAGGCTTATGGTGCGGTATTTTCATTGTTTCATCATATTTTCCCACCCTATAAATCATTTTTGGACTTCTACAAATATTCCAAAATCAAAATTTGCCAAATCGATCCAGTCGTTCTGGAGTTGTTATATAAAAGTTATAAAAAAATAAAATGACGTTTGTTAAACATAATAATATAGTAAAGTCTGCATCCCATACGGCTCAAAGTCACAAAAATCCTGCAATACTTAAAAAAAATTAAATGGAAACAGTCGACTTACCGTTATATGCAGAAATAACTAGCCTCAAGCAGTCTTCTGTATCGTTGGTGCTGTTCGAAATTAGAGCATCCAATAGATCTTTCATTGACGTCACTTCTTTCCTTGACCCTAAGAAAGTACCTTTAGGCGTTGTCATAGTAACGCAAATCTGTCTCAACGTCAATACTGGTTCTAATATCTAAAAACAAAGATAAATAATCTTGCAATCTCTCCAGGTTTATGGAATATGTCTAAAATATGGAATAGAGAATGGAATTCTCTCTCCTGTTTCCGAACATAATGTAGCTTTGTTAAAACTGTCTGTGTAAACTGTTTGTCCTTTTGTAGTGTAGTGTTATGTACAATTTTATGTTTATGATATTTTGCGTTTGTTGGATAGCCCAAAATTGACGAAATGCCTCTAAGATGCTCTAGGAAGCGAAAGTACTTGGGCAAGATTTAATTAATAAAACTGTGCTTCATATCTGCCTTTTATTATTGCATTGTGTTGTATATTTTACAGAATATCACTTACCTTTTTTAAAGTCTTCTTGTCCAAAGTATCGAGACATATGGCAGGATCGTAGCCCTTACATTTTTCCGCAAAAAAGCTGCCTCTGATTTCGTGTTCCCTCTTGTAAAAATACTTTTCCACAGCACAAAACTCCAGCGTGTGGTGTAAGTGGGTTTGTTTTGGTATGCCTACCTAAACACGGAACGAAAAGTACGTTAAAGGAGAAAAAATAAGTCGTAGAAGAGAAAAAACTGTTACTAGCATGGGCAAGAGAAGTCAACATTCAAATAAAAATAATTCTATCGGGGTCTACCAAAATCCACAAGGAAAATTTAGTGTAATGATGCTGAAGACATGATTACTATTTAACATTAATTTTTGCGATTACACACATACATTAATATTAAAATAGCGTTGAACTTATAAATATAAGACTTGTTTTACGTTTAGTTTTTATTGTAGCAGATTGTTCACTTAATGTTTCAATAACAAAAGACTTACTTGATCCGCTACATCTTTTTTGGACGTTCTCCACAAGATAGTCGATAAAAAATTCAACAACGGTTCTTCGTTGCCCACTAAATAAGGTTGGTATAAGATCTTCTGCCATGTAGTAAGGTCGTTATAAGGGGATATTTGCAAGTAATCTATTAAGCCATGTAAATCTACAAAAATTGGAAATATAAGAGACTTATTTCAAAGGTCTATGTACTTTTAGTAAATAATTCGAAGCACTTTGAATTTAGACTCCTAAATAAACAACGCAACAAACGTTTCAAGGTCACTTGTATCCAAAAGAAGTATATCAACTATCTAAAAATATTGCAAAAGCCCTAATAAGCGCTAAACGTCGAGAAAGCGTTGAAATTTTGTCGAAGGACGAAATAGCTTACACTTTTTCGTTGCTTTTGACGTCTTTGACACTTTAAGACACGTTTAAAGCGTTGAAAAAGCATGAAGTTTTAACAATTCTTCGCTTTTGACGAATTTTCCACACTTTGACACTTACTTTCACAATGTTTTAACCGAACATCAAGCGCATAAAATATTGTAAAAGCTTTAAAAAGCGCTAGAGTGTCGAAAAAGCGTAAAGCCTCGAAAAAGGGTAAAGTTTTTACAATTTCTCGTTATTTTTAACGACTGTTTTACATTTTTATAATGTTTTTAACCGAAAAACAAGCACATAAAATATTGTGAAAGCTTTAATAAGTGTTAAAATAGTGAAAAAGCGCTAAAATGTCGAAAGTGCGTCGTTTTTACACTTTTTCGTCGCTTTTGACGTCCGTTTGACACTTTTACGATGTTTAATCGAGCAGCAAGCGCTTAAAATGGTGCAAATCTTTATTAAGCGCTAAAGCGTCGAAAGAGCGTAAAGCTTTAACAATTTGTCGTCTCTTTCGACGCCTTTTCTACACTTTGGTACACTTTCACAATATTTTTAACCGAAAAACAAGCGCATAAAATATTGTGAAAGCTTTAATAAGCGTCAAAATATTAAAAAAGCGCTAAAATATCGAAAATGCGTTGTTTTTACACTTTTTCGTTACTTTTACGATGTTTTAACCAAGCAGAAACGCTTAAAATGGTGCAAATCTTTAATAAGTGCTAAAGCGTGAAGTTTTTATTACTTTTTCGTCGCTTGATGAAATCGTTGATACAGTGTCAAAAACGACAAAAAACGTCCAAAGAATGACTTTTTCAGCAAATTTTTTTGTCACTTTTAAATCATTTTTATCAATCAAGGTCATCTAAAATAGTACAAAGCGACATTTTCCTCGTGTATGACGTTTTTGACACTTTCAACACAAATTTTTTTACGAAACAATCCTGATCAACAAGATCATTCGTCGCCGAAATAACAAGTTTCAAGCGCTTAAAAATATTGTAAAAGCGTTAAAGAGTGCTAAAGCGTTGAAGTAATTTCGAAAGCGATGAGAACGCATGAAGTATTCGATACGTTTTCCACACTTATCAGTTTTACAATATTTTTAACTGAACAAATACGGTCAAGGTCAATGGACACCAAGACAATTAACAGAGAACATACGAACACAGAGAAGCGACACGAGGCCCGGAATTCGTGTCTCTTTTCTGTATACGCATGACCCAAATAAGGTGCTTTACTGTCAAAAACACGTGCGTTTTCTTCAACCTTAAGTCGCTTACGATAGTCCGTAGGCATCTGTGGTAAACTCTCGACTATACAAGTCTGATACAAGTGCATTTGACCATTTATCTAATTATTTAGTAGTTAAAAGTTTATAGTTATAGTTAAAATATATAAGTTAAATATATAAGTTTATAGTTAAAAGTTTAATTTATAAGTATTTAAAATGTCTTCTGGTTATTGTTGTGCGTTTCGCGGATGTTCATCTGTGACAGGAAAAGGAATAAGTTTATTTAGATTTCCTAAGAATAATAACAGGTAATTACTATTGCTTTGTAATTATTATTAGTTATTACATAATAGTATTATTTTGACTTTGAGTAAGCCGACACCGACGTGTCCGCCCGAGCTCTCGTAAAGTGAAGCAATAAAAAAATAAATTTCGGTTTGCCAAGGGATAGTTCAGAATAAAAACCAGAGAACTACGAACACACATTAAATTTATTGTCTCCGAAGGCTCAGGTCAAAAAATCAACACAGATGTTGGCCTACTGGTGTGAAAGCGCTCGCAGACAACAATACGAATATAGTATTTTTAGGAAATAAAAATATATAGAGGGTTTTATACACGAGAATATTTGATTTAAACGAAACAAAGAAATTCCTAAAATGCTCAAACTAAAAATTGTTGGAAACACAATTAGATCGAAAATTGGGAAAATCTTAAAATTATAACAGAACAAGACTTCAAAATAAAAACATGATTGCAAATAAACAAACTTACATTAACATAACTTCAAATATTTGCTGTCTTTTTCACCAAACAAACTTACATTAAATTATGAAAAAACTAAATGCTCATCTACTTTTTGCTATATACAAAAGTTGTCTGTCAATGTTTAATTCGTTAAATATAAATAACAAAGATCAAATATATGGATCGGAGTACACAACATATTTAGGGAATAAATATTTAAATGGGAATTACAAATAAAAAATATTAAAACTTTATTTATTGTATATCTCAATATTTAGTGACAATTTTGAGACTTAATTAGGAGAAAACTGTAAATTTATTAAGATGAGATATTGACAAAAGTTAAATACTTCATTACTTACAATACACTTAGAATATATTAATACTCTTATAGTTGTAAGTAATGAAGTATTATTTATAAATACAAAAAATTCTTTGTTTAAAATTTGTTCTGTTAAAAATTTGTAGTGCCAAAATGTGGATTTGTGAACTACATTGTGAAGATAATCTTATTGTCAAAAAAAATAATATAATAAATAATATAATAAAAAATAATATAATAAAAAATAAATTATATCTTGTATCAACACAAGCCAAAAAGAATCGGCGTATTATTGTATTATCAACGTCAACATCAGAATAAACAAAAAAGTATTTTCATCTATGGTTCCATCAATACGATTTTCACCATTACTTTGCGTTGTGCGATGTATTTGCAACCTTTTGTAAATCAAAAATAATTACACCATTTAGAATATCAACAAAAGCCGGCCCTGCATGTAATTATTTTTTCAGTGCAATATTTCATATTTATTGAAAGTCAACATAAATGCTCAATTTTATTTAAGAATTTATATTGTGTAATATGCCCACTGACTATTAAAAAATAAGGTGCTTTCCTGTCATTTTCACTCGTTGGCGGCTTGCCCACGCAAGATCAAAGGAGTGTCGCTTCTCTGCGTTCGTAGTTCTCTGCAATTAATGTCAAGCGAATAAAAATAGTCTTAAAGAGTTAATAAGCACTAAATCTTTAAAATAATTTCAAAAGCAAAGAAAACGCTTGAAAATGTTGACGTTTTGGATATTTCTTCGTCATATTTGACGCCTTTTTTTCAAAATATTTACACTTTTGTAATATTTTAACAGAAAAAGCGCGGTTAAGAGTCTAAAAATATTGTAAAAGCCCTAATAAACGCTTAGAGCGCCAAAAGCGTAACGGTTTTGTCACTTTTTCCTTGCTGTTGACGACTTTTCAAACACTTTGGCACTTGCTTCTATGCTTCTACAATATGTTTCGATGCTCTTTCTATTGGTAATACTAGATCTTGACCGCAAGGTTAAGTATGTTTAAATTGATAGCTTCTTACTAGTTCATCTTACCTGATATGTTCTTTGAAATGGGCGTTCCAGTAACCGCCCAGCGGTGAACAGCTTCGATTTTCCTAGCCATCACAGACACCACACAGTCAGGAGTGTCGACAGTTTGAGCTTCATCCAGGCAAAGCCTCCACCATTTGATCCTTGTCAATGGACACCCTGGTCGAAAGTACTTTTTGCCCTTTCTCAAATTCTTGGCCTAAGAACGATGAAATTGCATCAGTTGAAAAAAAATTACAAGATTTTAATCAATAAGTTGATTGAGAGAGTTCAACACAAATTCTTAAGATTTGTTGCATTTAAACAAAACCAGAGGATTGAAGAAATTAATTATTCAAATATGGGCAGGTCCCTCAACATAACTTCTCTCGAAGTCCCACACATGCACAAAGATCTCACTATGTTTTCTAGTATACTGCACTCTATTATTTTTGGTCCTCAACTATTAAAAAAATTAATTTTCATGTTCCCAGTAGACAAAAAAAGGTAAATCAACGCTTCTATATTAGACCCCAGCGCACAAACTATGGACACAATTCCTTCACATTTAGCACACCAAGGTTTGCTAATGAATATCCCCAAAGGTTGGATTGTTATAGTATTCCAAAAGAATTTAAAGTAAGTATCAAGAATTTTACTTTAAAGTGTATTGAATATTTTAAAAGATTTCACTTTAAAAGAATATAGATCCCTACTTGAAACAAGAACATGTATGTGAAGAAGATACCAGCCAGTATCCGGTTGTCCATGATAACCAGCCAGTTTTCAGGAGACTGAAAATGTTATGTGATTTTTCCTTTTATTAGTTCTAAGAGGAATATTCAGTAAGATATTTTACTTGTCTAATAAATATTACTGTATATAAAATATATAAAAACTTACCTCTTCAGTATGAGTAAGCTTCAGCTCATGCGCAAGCACACTGTATGTAGTTAAAACAATGTCATATTCTTTCAGCTCAGTGGGATAAACTGAGTTAATATTATGTCCTTGATACTGCAGAACACTCAAGTTTCCTTTAATGTGTTTGGCAATTTCTTTGCACCATTGGGTCTTCAAAGCTACAGGAGTTACTATTAGAGTAGCCTTGGACTCTACAAGTGGCTGGTTCATCCAACATTGTGGGCAAAAATACTTCCCTAAAGATTTTGTGTACCCCAAGCATTTAGGGTGTTGATATACATCACAGCTGGAGCATTTAATAGCTGTTCTCTCAGAAGTACTTCCACAAACACACTGAACAGATATTCTATCAACTTCTTCAAATGAACTAGAACGTATGGTACTAGTTTCTGCTAAAATATTGTTGTACCACATGTTCAATGCTACGAATGTTGAACTTTTCTTTGTCTTGCCTTTTATCCAATCTTCAGGCACCTGTAACTTCCTCGGTTTATCAACATACTTAGGTTCCTTAGGTTCACTTGAATGCTTAGATTTTTTTTGTGGAATTGTTATAATGGGACCTTCTGGTTCCTCAACAGAGCTTCGACGCTTTCTATTCACAACAGTAGACTCCTCACAATCATCTAACATCCCTTTTATGCTTTTTGATGACAGCTCTAACTTACTATCAGGATTTGGGTTGTTTCTTGAATAATCTTCTTTTGATTCAATTTTAGGATTGAGTAAAAGACAAGCTATAACCTCTACAGTCTTTCCCAAACCCATTTCATCAGCCAGGATGCCAATTTTTGTAGAGAGAGAAGTTAATGGTTTTTCAATACATATGAATCCTGTGTATTTGTCAAAATAGATCTCAATATTTGATGGTAATTTGATTGGAGTATAGAGAGGGTGCAAAAAATCTAAAAATTACGTACTTTTAATTGAATTAATAAATCTATAATATATTTCTAAGCAAAAAAAAATAAGTTTAAAATTAAGAGGAACACAACATATTGAAAATTGTGCATTTTCTTAGACTTATTATGATAAATTAATGATCAACCACTGTCATAATGATCTAAATTTTTTAATAATGAAGTACTAGAACAATGATAATGGTACCTGTTTTGCAATCTTCCATTCTTTCTCGATATAACATCCATTTTATTGACTCTTGTTGATAAGGCCTTAACTCAGGTTTTAAATAGTGATGCTGCACATTTTCTTCGACATTATAATCAACCTTATCAGACTTCCTTTTTTCTATCAACTTATCATACAACTTCTGCACCTCTGAATTGCCATGGAAACATTTGGAAGTATTTTTAAAGTCATCGTCTGTAATTAAAAAAAATATTTACTTATCTTTTAGAACAAGATGAAGGGCATATACTTACATATATTAGAACAAACTTCTCCAAACAATTGTATAAAAAGATTTTTCAGGCAGTTTCCTAGCTTTGGGTAAAACTTTGGCAGTGGTAGTTGAGTAAAATATATTTTCAGGTACAAATTTTCATCTCTGCATGAAAAATCAAATGAAAATATCTTTGTCAAACTCATTAACTCTGAAATACAGAATTTAACAATGCTGATTAGTAAGAAAGACAAAATCAAAGGTTTAGAAAATAAAATTTTAAAACCGGTCATGGAATAGAATATTTAACTATAATAAAGAATTGCAACGTACCTTTAATAAAACTTGTGTTATTGGTATAATCTGTTACAATTACAGAATGGGAATCACATGATATAATAATACTGTTGAACTGATGCTTTTCCTCAAGACTATCATCTTTGAATTTAAAAGATACCTTCACAGTTTTAAACTGGTCGGGAAATGTATTATTAGTAGAGCCAATTAATATTTCTCCTAAATACCATTGTCTGCACAAATCTGTGGGTAGATTTACATTGATGAACTTCTCGGTAGTATAATCAACACGACTTCGACGCTTTTTAACTACTGGAATGTAATCTAAGTATTGAATTCTGTCAGTTTCGTGCTTTTTTGGCGTATTTTTACTTCTACCCATCTTACACTACCTTGATTATTATTGTTAATGTATATTATTGCAGTTTTTCAAACCAAAGCCGAGATTAGTTTTGCATTTTCAGTTGTTGGGTGGTTTTGCTGAAATAAAAGTAAACACATAGTACATACCCCCCTAGTAAGGTAACTCCCATATAAAGTTTTGGAAGAGTTTCTAGCGCCAAATACGGACGGGCCGAAACTAATTTCATTTGGCGGCAAATTCAAAACATAAATTCAGAATTTTAGGCGGCAAATTCAAAAAATATGCTCTGAATTTTAGGCGCCAAAATTCAAAAAGTATGTTTTTAATGGAAAGTAAATATAGTCATAAAATAAGAAATAAAAACTTATTCTATGCCAGAAAATATATCCTCTCTGTCCAAAAATATAGTATACACCTACACATTTTTATATATATATATATATATATATATATATATATATATATATATATATATATATATATATATATATATATATATATATATAATATATATATATATATATATATATATATATATATATATATATATATATATATATAAATGTATAACATAATATCTGATACAGAGAGAGTATATATTATGGTACAAGAAAGTTTTTATTTAATATTTTATGATTATATCTGTTTTCCATTACATTAACAAACCAAAGTCCCAAAAATAACAAAATAAAACACAAACATCCTGACACTTGTTTATTTGTATAATTTTCTTTGGTAAAGTATTGGCAACATATCCTCCTCCTCCTCCTTACTTAAGCCCTTGTTAAGGTGTGGGTGGGGACACTCTAAATATTGTTAACTTGCTGTCTCCATTGGCTGCAATTCTGTACCAGATGAACAACTTCGTGAAGGGATTTTTCCACCAATCTTCATTTAATCTTCCCATCATGTTGTGAGATCGTCATTTTGATATACAAATATAGATACCTCTATATTTATTAGCAATGGTTTGTAGTAAGTTCCATACCTTCTAAAATACTTTTCCTTAAAGTACCATATGTAGATAATAAAGTGTAAACCCTAGCATGTCTGCGATCTTGCTCTTCACAATGATCACAAATTGTCATGTGACTCAATGTAACTGTTACTCAGAAGTAGAAGATCCATGAAAATCTAAAATAATGAAATATTATTAAAATTAAGAATGTATTGACTTTTTTTATAAAATAAGGCCAATTTTAGGAATGCAATTAAAGAGTCATAAGAGTTTTTTTTATAAAATAAGGCAATGTTTAGGAATGCAGTGATAAGAGTTAAGAGTTTTAATGAGTTTAAAATCTATACAGTATATAAATATAAGATTAATGTTAGTTAAGATTGAAGGGTAAATTAACTACAAAAACAAAATAGTATCAAGTTTGTATTTACTAAAAGTTTGGTATAATTAGGTGCTGTTCTTACCTGGTGCTTGTAAAAATAAACTCCTAATCCTCAGAATGTTTAATAGCCGTTTGTCCAATAACTTTCACCCATCAACAAAAAATATTCTTCCGAAATACTATACCATTTTGGTAATGTACCTTCTTCTTTAGCAGGTCTATTAGATATATAAAATTTGATGTATACTGTTTTTATCGTCTATTTCTAAAATTTGGGATACGACTATTGTAAACAGTGTGGTGTAGAATTGTTTATTTTCCTCATAATAAATGTCAACCATTATGAAAACAAATCCATTTCATTTTTTGGGTTTGGAAAACGAAATCGACTGTTTGTGTAGTCGGTGCAACCATGAACATAACATTTTTTTACCTTTTATTCTATTTTGTTCCATTTCAACGATGGTAAAACACAATTTTTACAATTAAGATGATAATAACCAAATCCAAACAGAAATCTGAATCTGAATTTGCAATATGGCGTCTCAATCTAAATTAAATTTCGCCACAGCACATGCGTCTCCACCTCCCACCTAACGTGACTAGTAGCGCCGCCGCCATTAAGAACGGACGGGCCCATGCAAAACACTATCCCCTCCCGTCCTATTCTACTTACACTACTATGGGGTATGTATTGTGAGTAAACAATTGGACAGCTCCACAGTATATACTACAAATAGTAGTGTAAGTAGTATAGGACTAATGGGAGAGTAAATTGTATGGGGCCAACCGTTTATAATGGCGACGGCGCTACTCGTCACGTTAAGTCAAGGTTCGTAGAACTCCTACGGTTGCCTCTTCCGACTAACCAATGAACATTAAGCCCGAATTTACGTCACGAGAGTAAAGTAATTTGAATCGTAATATTGTTAATCGGTGTTTTCATGTCTTTGACGTATAGAAAATAGTAAAGATAGTTATAAAATAAAGATGTTTAGTGGATTATAATAACTAATTATGAAAAACTGTTAATATGTAGGTAGTTTGGTACTTAAAATTAGAATAAATTTCTAGATTTTCGTAAATCTAAATTGGAAGATCTACAACACAATGAGAAGATGAAATGAAGATTGGTAGAAAAATCTCTACATGAAGTTGTCCATCTGGTATAGGATCTCAGCTAATGGAGACAGAAAGGAGCAAGCTAACAATATTTAGTGGCCTCATTCACACCCTGACAATTTTTTAAGGAATGAGGAGGAGGAGCATATTTGTTACCAATAGTTTACCAAAGAAAATTATACAAATAAACAAGTGTCAAGATATCTGTGTTTTATTTTATTGTTTTCGAGACTTTGGTTTGTTAATATAATGTAAAACACATATGGTCATAAAATAATAAATAAGAACTTTTCTGTAACATAACATATATGCCTACTTTCTGTCTCTATATTTTTGGACAGATAAAATATATTTTTTGGAATAGAAGTTTTTGTTTTTTATTTTATGACTATATTTATTTACTTTATGACTATAGTATAGTTTTTGAAATTTGAGACCTAAAATTAAGAGCATATTTTTTGAATTTGTCGCCTAAAATTCAGAACCTAAGTGTTAAATTTGCCGCCAAATGAAATTAGTTTCGGCCCGTCCGCATTTGGCGCTAGAGACGCTCTCTCAAATCTTTCTATTGGACTTACCTTACTAGAGGGCTATGTCAATGACGTATATTATACGTCATTGGGCTGTAACATAGCAGCTCCATGCCAATTGACATTAAATAGATTATGTGATTTATTTCAGAGATGGCGCAGCAGGGTGATTCCACAAAGATTTTTATAACTTATAAAATAAATTAATGATACTTATGCATCTTTTATTAGTCGAACATATTATTATGATTTATTTATAAATTTAAATTAAAAAAGTAACAAAACCTTTAATTATCCAGTTATCAATAATTTTAACAACAAAAGAATATATTTTTGACCCACTAGTAGTAAACCTTATAAAAAACATGTTTGAGCGGCATTAACTCCGACTTTGGGTAATGCTCAGGTTACAGGGTAGTAATGCTCAAACCTATTTTTTATTATTGTTGGATACATAAGTCACAGATATATCCATTTGGTGAATCTCATCCTGAACATTATGACATAAGCCCATAATCCGCAGATGGTGCAGCGATATCAAAACTTCTTCGGAAATTTACAATTTATGATTCACAAGTGTCATTGCAGAGGTTGACCATTCGCACCTAATAATTAGAAGGTCCTAATATACAAGATGTGAAAAGTACACGTTGTAAGAAACTTTGTCCAAAGACAAAACGCAAATGAATAAGCATACAACTGTTTCACATCTTTAGAAAATATGATAGATAGAATACTGGAGCATTTAAAGCAGTAAAAAATGACAGACTTTTTCCAATTGCAGAAGCAATGGATTATGTTATTCTTAAAAATATGCCTTTTTTGACAGTAAAAGTAAACAACTTTTTTTTCAAAAACGCCATTCAAACAATATTTAGCATCTTATATATTGCTCCGAATATGGCTTCACTATAGGAAGTTAATGTTTTAGAAAACTACATATTCATAAGTATGCACAGTATTATTGTTATTCGATATAACGAGATCGGCTTATAACGAGGTAATTAGTCTGCCATTTCAGTTCCTGTTATAAAGGGAGTCTACTGTATTTCGGTCCCAACTGTTCTTTTTCCACCATCTTCATAATAGCCATTTTTTTAGGTTTTCCTTAGTAACACTTAGTCGTTTCTCATAATTTATAATGTATAATAAACATATAGGTAATAACATTTTTCCTACTATTATTTTCAGTTTGTTTACGAATTAATTACAGACTTTTTCTTACAAGTTTCAATTTTTGCGATATATTTCGTTGCGAAATAATAAGAAAAATATATTATTTATAAAGAAAAGTGTTTTTCTTACTGTAATTACTTTTTAATTATTTGCTAATAAATGGTACAGATATGCCAGCTCATAGTATCTACTAATTATATAGGATATTTATTATTTATTTGATATATAAGGTATATAAGTAATGGTGTGGTGAATACAAATAAATATTTGCACTGATTGCGAACAGATTTGTGTGAAGAGCAATATTGATTGTGTAAAACGTGTATGAAGATATTTGTGATCTGCATAAGTATTTAAACGCTATTTTCAAGGTATGTATAACAATTTTTATAATTTACATGATTGTAGATTCTGAATTTACAAATACGTGTTGGTTTATTTGCTGCCAAAAAGTGGAAAACACACACCTGGGTTTTTGTAGGATTGGGTTTCAGATGGTTTTCGTCATAGTATAGAGCTATGTCTTCTAGGGCTTTACTTCGACTTCATTGAAGGTACTTCCCTGAGCTGCCACAGTTTTTGGGTTGGTCGTTGGTGTAAATGTTGTATAGCATCGGCGCGAGGACACTTCCCTGTGGGAGTCCATTTTTTTGATCCGTCCACCGACTGTTCTCGATATACTTTCTTAAAGCAATTTCTTATCCTTTTCTCTGTGACGAAGGAACGGCTAGCTGTCAGATTTTGCCATACACGAGGTCTTACTTGCGGATGCTGGGTTAGAAAATGTTAGTACCATCTATTTCCAGAAGTTGCATTCTTAAATAGATTGGATTACTTTAGATTTAAATGAGCACTACTACGGTGTTAATAAGCTTTTCAGGTCATTTAGGATCCGATTCAGAAGCTCTTGTGAATATTTTGTGCCCGCTGCATTTTCTTGTACAAGAAATGCGCCAATTTGTGCGTAAAGCCGCAAAAACGTAAAACTTTTTTCATATTGGCGGCTGGAGGAGAACTTTGATATACAATTAGACCAAGCAGACATCAGAGAAAAGTGCCCACCAACAATAACCAAGATTAGAACATCAGTAGCCAAATTGAAAAACAATAAATCATAGGGATTGGATCAAATAGCATCGGACCTACTGAAAGAGGAGGAGATGTTTTAATAAAAACAATACATAATCGCTCTAAAAATTCGTGATGAGTTTCAAGATTATTTTATATCTCCAAATAAGAGAGTAGAATTTCAAGAGCATGCCATTCAAACATATAATTAAAAAAAAAACAAATAAATTATTACAACCAAATTATTTACTATTTCTGTCTTCCATTACAGCCTGTTAAATATCTTAGGAAACGATATAATAAAACATAAATAACTTTCTATATCAGAAACGATATAAGAAATTATTCAAGAAAATATATAGTGTCATACTGCCTTAATGAACAAACCACTGCATGTAGGTGAAAAAATGTTTTCTGTATTAATTTGCAAGCAAATATTGTAACCAATGAATTTCTCAATGCTTACATGAAACAATAAGGATTGACGACTTCCCCCGAACTGCTTGCGTCGCTTAATTAAATCAAACTGACTAAAACAAAAGCTAGAACATGTGACCCCACCATTTATACATAAAAAATGGCCTAATAAAGTTATAGTAGTGGCAGTACTAAGTTTAACCAACTTAAAAGTATTTACAAAAGAATTTCAATTTTTTTGATATTCCTGAATTTTCTGAGCCAGTTCCCTTCTTCTTTATTTATAGCAGTAATAACTGCTATATCTATTCGAGTTCTGATAATTCATGTAACACTTAATTACGGTTTTTTTGTTAGGCCTTAAATGTTCCATATACCTACAAAAAAATCGTGTCCTTTTTCGAAGCTTCTATGAGCTTTATTGTTCCATCCTATTCCAAGGCGTGTGATATGGTCTTTTTACATGTTTTATTTATTTTTTTTTACAAGTACTGGGGAGTTTACCCAATGCCTCAAATGATTACAGGATCTACCATTAACGGATTCATTCGTCCACCCGATCTGGTAATCTGCGGGTGGTATTTTATTTTCCATTTACACCCGAAAAATATTGGTGGGATCATTCACCTATCCCCCATCTGGAGATATGCCCTCTAGGGGTTACATACTACCTCTCGAATCTAAAAAAAATGAACTGATAATATATAAGAATAGAATTTTCTCCTTGTTGTAACTAGTTTAACTTCTAATTTAGCATATTATTCTTCCAGGTAGACACAATGATACAGCACATGAAAGTAGTTTTCCAGCACACCAGATGCTCTGGTCTATGGCCGCTTGCCTTCGAAAACGAACCGTACAAAAGGAAACTTTACAAAATATTCTCGTGGTGTGTGTTTATACTAGCACTAATCTACGTCACCACCCAATTTATTCAGTTATATATAATGGCTACCCACGAACAAGACATCAAAACCTTTACCATAAGTGCTTGCCTTACTGGAACATTTTCAATGGCACTGTTGAAGTCACATTTTATAAATAAAGAACTGCACCTTCTTGAGAAAATTCGAGTAAGGGAGACGCGCATATATGCTTCTAAAGACGAAGAAATCATTCAAATTTACAAAAATCGTGCCAATAATATTAACAAATTTAATTTGTGCTATATGATCATCAATTATTTAGGTAATTAGTAATTTTTTTAATGATTTATGTTGATTAAGTGTAATCCTAACTCTGTTGGGTTACATCTAACCTAACGTAACCTAACTTACCTATTCGTGATAGCCAATTCCGACAGGGGGCGCTGAAGATTTCAAAGATGGACGATAACTTCGGGAAAACAAATCATTTTGTCATCTGATCTCTAAGCTATAAAACGTTTAATATAAATCATTTACACGTATGTTTTGCCAAAGTAAAAGTTGGAGTACGTTCTTCAAAGTTTATTTGTTTATTATTGGAGTTTATACATGAGGTAATTGACTCCCGAACCTGAATAAAAATAACAATGTTTGTTTTTTTACAGTATGTCTGAAACACGGAAAGTAAAATTTACATTGTCTTAATTATTTATATGGTTACAAGATCGGCAGAGATCTTTAGTTGAGAGTGAGGCAGTTTTTGGAGCTGGCTTTGCTATATAAAAACTCTTTTGAAGGGTTTGATCCACCCTTCAAAGGAGATGGATCCTGCTTTGAAGGTTTTACAAAGCTGTGAAAATGCTGGAGCCATTCGAGAAATATTTGCTCATTTATCCACCCATTATCCGAGCAGTTATTAAGTGGTGATAAATAGATATGCAATGTCTAAAGTTAATGTAAAAACGACTGGGTGAGTCGTTGACTATGGATGATTGTTGCTACAACAGCAATATTCAACAATAACAATGTTTTCTTTTCTTTGGTTGACATCCTTCACCCTTTTAATAACCATAAATAGTGTATATTTATTTATTATATTATTTATTTTAGTACTTAATTATATCTATTTAAAATAAAATAACCTCAAATTGATAAATATTTTCTCTGTTGGCAATATGGCATAAATATGTTCTCTGATGGCGCAACATGTATTAAACGCGAAATAATATTAGGCCGTAAATGTAAATATTTCATAAATTAGGAAGCTGAGATAGCACAAATTTTCGTAACATTTTACTTTTTCAGATTCCGTCGGTTACATGTACATCATTGGACCAATATTTGCTCCTGTAGAAACAGTTTATGATTCTGTTAAAAATACAACACATATACACAAACAGTTGCCGATAGAGTCGTGGATGCCATTTAACGTAGATGAGCACTTTTTCAAAGCACTACTTTTAGAAGAATTCCTGTCGACGTTTTGTATGGTACTGAGTTTCGGAAGTGACATTTTCTTCTACGGTTATATAGGATATATGATCGGCCAGCTGGAAATTTTAAATTACATTCTTCTTAATTTTGAAACTTACAAGGAGAGAATTAAACAGCAACTTAACTGCGATGATGAAAAAGCGAATTACGTGACGGTCCAGCTTTGCATAAAAGAACATCAAATAGTGATGGGGTAAGTATTGACTGAGGTGCTGAGTAGTTATTTTATTTACACGTAACGTATTCTCATGATAACGTGCTAAATTATTGACATATGTACTATTTCATAGACATTTCAGGAATCCTTCATTGCCAAAACCTTTTTATTTTTGGGATATAAATGAAAACAAATCTCGTCTCCACTGAAGATCCTTGTTGGGTATTGAAGAACATCTTCAATTCCTTTTTTATCTACAAAAGATTCTACGTCGTCAAACTATTTGGTAATGTCTCTTTGGTTAATGTTTGAACTTGATGATGTCACTCCCTCTGAATTCCTTAGGAAAATGTTGGGATTGTGCTTCAAAAATCCTGATAGCCATGTTCTACCTAGTCAGGTGATGACTTTTCATTTATAGATTTCGGATTTTCAAAACAAGATAAAGCATTTTCGTTCAATGGAAAATTATCGACATGAGCTAACCGGCCTTTCGGAAAAATTGGGGACCCATTTTGAATAATGGGCCAACATACCTAACACCCTTCTGAGAAATGCAGTGTGTCATTCGGTGGAGGCATTTTTAATAAGGGTTGTAGTCTGTTACCATCGGGCTTGGCATGACATGGTTTAGTCGTATAGTACAACCAAGTAAGTTTATTACTGTTTGATTGAATTTGCTCCTGGTTTTGTTTAGTGTCAAGTCATATTTGTCTGTGGCCTACAGAAAGTTCTCAAGACTTCCGTCATGTTCTACCTTCGTCTTAGCACAAACGGTTATGTCATCAAGGTAGGCATATATCCCTTCAAGGTTTTCTGTGCGTATGAGCCAGTCGATTGTTCTTTGGAAACTGGTTACACCACTGGCAACATCAAACGGAATGCGACAAAATCGTTACAGTTCCCCAGCGGCTTCAAAAACTGTGAAAATCTTTTCATGTGGAAGTAATGGAACCTGTAAATCTATTGCACCAAAGACAGTGAATTGTGATACATTAGACACCATTTCCTCGATATTTGGCAGTGGATAGGCATCAAGTTGAGTGAATCGATTAATTGTTTGAGAATAATCAATGACAAGCCGCAATCACAATGAAACTCCTGTGAGTATCGTGGTTTTCTAAGTCTTTCACAACTCCATATAAAGAGAACTTGAACTTTTGACACAGAATAAGAAAGCAATTGTTATTTGCTCTGTACTTGTATATTTCTTCAAGAGTTTTTGCAAATGCTACCTTCAGTCTAATGAAAACAGTGAATCGGATTTCTAATAATACTGTCTTTTATAGTCTTTTAGATTTGATGCAGTTTCTTTGCTATTTTAAAAACATATTACTTCAGAAGAATTTACTGTTTTTTTATTTCAGATATATAGATGACTATAATAACTCTATGAGAACTATGATGTTGTTAGACTTTCTTCACAGCTCTGCTCAGTTGGCTATGATCTCGATTATTATATTGGTAAGAACTAAAATGTTTTATTGTATTACAGTCAGTGGTTAATTTCAGTGGGAACGCAAGGGAACGGCGTTCCCTTACCTCCCAAGAGTGCCGGAACGCAAGGGAACGCTTTTAAAACTACAAGTTTTAGTTAAAAAAAATTGTAGGTAGGATCAATATTATGCTATGCTTTGTTTGCGAGTGACTCGTACGTAAGCAGATAGTAAGCGCCCGTACAAGCAGTTGTGACTTGTGAGCTGTGCTGTGATGAGTCTTGCACGGAATCAGGCAGGAGGAAGGTGACGGGCGAGTCATCCTAAGTTCGCGCCTGGTTTCTGTATCTGCAGATACAGAAACAAAGGTTTACAGTTATAATTTTCAAAAGTTTTCCTGGGTGAGGGCCCCCCTCCTTCCTGGGGTGTATTCCATACCCACCGGTCTGAGCTTCCCGCTTTAAGAGTTCCCACACCTAAAATTTTAGAAATTAAGCACTGATTACAGTATAATTCAGCATGGCGGCACCAACTTCACGTCACTATCAATGTGGAGTATCTATTATTGAAAATATAACAATATTTTAATTCTACATATCTATTTAAATTTGATATATTTTCCAGCTGTGTGTAACAGATAATCTTATAAAGATAGCAGGATTAGGATTTGCGGTTATTCTTCTCTGCAGATTGGGCGTTTTTTATTGGTTGGCGAACGATGTAATTGTAAAGGTAAATATTCCTAAGGCAGACCGAAGCTGATTATCACAGTTTTTAGTTCATACTCTGTAGCTCACTGTCAAAATTTAAGTCATAAATGTCATTCAATTAATAGTATTGAATCATCTGTTTAAATTTTTATGACATACAGAGTGGCCCAAAAGTCTGGAAACGGCCAATTATTTTGTAAATTGCTAGTTATAATTGTACAAAATTTGATGGACACCTCTTTTGGGATACGGAGATTCCATATTTGATATTTGCAATGTTGCCAGATTTGCCGTTTCTCTGATATTATTAGTCACTTTGGTTTTTCAAATGCATCACCCTGTATATTCAGTCATTATTAGAATCTTCTATTCAATACGAGTTCAACTATATGTAACACTTATGATTTTTTATAGTCTGGAAGGTCTTAAATACATAAAACAGAAGTCTGCCAACGCCTAATTGTTTCAATAAATTTTTTGATACTAAATTATTTTCAACTACATTAAAACGTAACAATTGATAGATTAGACCATTTTTTAACAATAGTTACGTTATTAAGTGTTAAAAATGTGCTCAATTTGTGAGTTGACAGTACCCTAATCGATGGTAGAATGCGTCTACCATATTTCTCCATGATTGTCTAGAAATTATTTGAGATTAATCGATAATTCGTTGCCTTTGCTCTGCAAGACTTGCCTGGTTAAGTTTTGTAAACTGAATTTTTCAAGTATCCCTAATAAAAATAATCTTTAGGATTGAAATCGGGTTAACGTGGAGGCCATTCAATTCTACCTTGTCTACCAATTTATCCTACGGAAAATATCTCATCTAAATAACACCGAACATTTACACCAACTATCTGACGTTAAATTTCCTTCCATAAAAATGACCCAATTGACTAAGTACCTACTATACCTGATCATACATTTAATTTTTGTGGTCTGGTATGGTTTTCACGCATTCAGTGTGAATTTCATACGAGTTTAACTATTCAATACGAGTTCAAAAATATGTAACACTTATGATTGTATGTAGTCTGGAAGGTTTTAAATACATAAAACAGTGCAAAATTTGTAGATTTTAATAAATTTAAATATTTAAATGTAAAATGCTTTGATATTAGCCATTGTTCACGATTTACATTTTAAACTAAAACTGACAGTAGTTGTGTTTCATAAAGTTCTGCCATTTAAATTGCTTCTCTAAAATGCCGTCCTATTCATAAGGCGACGGTACAAAAGACTGTAAAGCGATTTGAGAAAACTGAAGAAGATAAAGATAGATGGAAAGAGAAAAGTTTTGTTGAAGATCCACATACATCCTCAGGCAGGGTTGCACAAGTACATGATGTAGGTCGATCTTCAGTCTTACGTATATTACGTAAAAATAAGTTTAAACCATACAAAATAAACTTATTGCAAGAATTAAGTAAAGATGACATCGATCTTAGAGTTTACTGAGGTAATGATGGATAAAATTGAAAATTATTAAAATTTGATAAAATAAAATTGAAAACAGAATACGTTTTCCGATGAAGCAATCTTTACACTGTGTGGAAGTGTAAATCGACACAATTTAAGGTACTGGAGTGACGCAAATTCACACTGAATGCGTGAAAACCATACTCAAAGACCACAAAAATTAAATGTATCGTCAGGTATAGTAGGTACTCAGTCAATTGGGCCATTTTTTATCGAAAGAAATTTAACATCAGATAGTTGGTGTAAATGTTCGGCGTTATTTAGATGAGATATTTCCCGGACGATAAATTGGTAGTCAAGGTAGAATTGAATGGCCTTCACGTTCACCCGATTTCAATCATAAAGATTATTTTTATTACGATACTTGAAAAATTCAGTTTACAAAACTTAACCAGCAAGTCTTGCAGAGCTAAGGCAACGAATTATCGATCAATCTCGAATTGTTTCTAGACCATCATGGAGAAATGTGATAGACGCATTCTACGACTGTCAACTCAAAAATTGAGCACATTTTGAACACTTAATAACGTAACTATTGTTAAAAAATGTTCTAATCTATCAATTGTTACGTTTTAATGTAGTTGAAAATAATTAGTATTAAAAAATTTATTGAAACAATTAGGCGTTGCCAGACTTGTGTTTTATATATTTAAGATCTTTCAGACAACATAAAATCATAAGTGTTACATATGGTTGAACTCGTATTGAATAGTAGATTCCAATAACGACTAAATATATAGGGTGATGCATTTAAAAACCCAAAGTTACTAATAATATAAGAGAAACGGCCAATTACTATCTAAAAAAGTACATTTTAACTTAGAAAATATATGGAATGGAGGAAAAAATGTTTGGTATATTAGAAAGCGAAACAAAATTTAGTCTGTATATTCCGTTTCTAAGAGTCTTTTTAACGGTAAACCACTCACCTATTTGTTTTTTCTTCAGTATACTGAATACTACCCTAATTATTGTTTTTGGTTTGCTGTAGAGTTTTGACTTGGCAGACGCTGTATATAAAATACTTTGGTATCAAAAATCGCAAAGGACAAAAACTTTATTAAAAATCTTCTTGTTCAAATGCAATCAACTTACTGGGTTGCAAATAGGAAAGCTATCTATTATGTCATGGGATGTCTTCTTTCTGGTAAGATTGTTTTAGATTTAGTAACTGGAATACATGGAAAAATTGTTGTGTAGAGTAAAGTGCTCTAATATCGAATACTTTTTTTTTAACCTTAATATTAGTTTTAATACGTCAATTAATTTATGAATATTTTAGAGCAAAATAAGTAATAGACTATAGAGAATCATTTATTGAACGAAAATAAATCATTTCTACCAAGTAAAAAATAAATTTTAAATTTTTATAAAAAACAGTAAAATTAGACTGACAAAAAAAATGTTCCCAATACCAGATACTAGGATAACGGGATAAAATTAGCCATCGAGGTAGAAATCACAAATGTCAACACTGGTGCAGTCAGTGTGAGCCCACTTAAAACACTTTGAGCACTGAATCCATTGTTCGCGAGAGGTGTCTTCAAAGAAGAGCCCAGTACAAAACATGCTTCCTCTTCCCCAATGTACACTCCATATGAATTCTTCATCTTCTTCAGATGAACTAAAAGCTTCCTCTTTCTTAGCACTTTTCTTTTTAACCTTGGTTGTCATTTTCTTCTTAGCAATAGATTTTCCTATACAGATTGAACGAAATAAATTCGGAGCATAGGAATATAATGTATTTCGGCTCAATTCTGCTGTAGGTGGTTGGCCAACAAAATATTGTCAAATAATTATATTATAAAAATCCCATACTTCAGCGGGCTGCTGGATTCTGAACTCATAAAAATTGAAAGCTACACATAAATCTACAATTTTATTATGCTGTCAAACCAGTTATAGTCCAGGAAATGAAGCATTTCACCTCGCAATTTTTTCGTGCTAAGTGGGTTGACTTGAAATTTAACCGAAGGTAGGTAATAGCCTAAGGATCAAAATCTATATCGAACCAAAGTGCGCCAAAGCCTAGGGGGTGGTTGCCACGCCATATCCAGGGTGAATTTTTTTTACGTTTTAACTACAGGTTTCGATTAAAAAAGTGATTCTAGACAAAAAATGTGCTATACATTTTTTTTATAAAACGATATTTTTCAAGTTATTCGCGATTGAAAGTAACAACTTTTAGACGAAAAAATCCACGTTTTTAATCGATTTTTCGCGAATAACTCGAAAATGGTGCATTTTATCAAAAAAATTGTAGAGAACAAATTTGTAGCTTTTAAAAAGACAAATAAAATTCATTTTTTAAAATGTTTTTGCGATATAATAGGAACCGAAATACGGCCTATCAATGTTCAGCGGTTTTCTTCAAATGCCAAATTTGAAAGATTCAAAGTCAGATATATATAGTCATAAATAGACCTATCATAAAAAAAGACTCTAGCTCAAAAATTGAGTGAGTTATGATGAAAATAAGGTCAATACCTCATTTTTTACGAAAAAATCGATGAAGACAACCCCCTAACCACCCCCATAATTAAAATCGATCTTCACCCTTCTGCAATTCCCTTTGTACATGTATTGTTAATACGTCCAAGAAGTTTGACCCATTTAAAATGCTTAGTTTTAGAAAAAGTACAGCTTAAAGCGAGAAACGATTCACAATTTCATATTTTTTACCCTTCTTTTTTTAAATATGCCCGAAAATACTGAATATATGAAAAAAATAAAATTTACCAAATTGTAGCTTTTTTAATAACTAAAATTATCCTTTATTTAGATTTGTCGTACGATAAATATTTGGGGAGATATAGCCGTTTAAAGCATCGATTTACGATCAAGCACCATCTTTTTCGAGCCCTTTAAACTCACCCCATTTACAAACCAAGGGTTCCAAAAAGATTTAATTCACAGATCCTTGTAGCTCTTAAAAACCTCTACAAATCGTTTTTGAAGAAACACTCTATCGTTAAAAATTAAAGGAAATACGTTAAAAAAAACAGTTAATTTTTTTCCGGAAAATTCCATTAGTATAGTACAGTACATTTCGGAGCATAATAATCTACAAAACCGGTATATTAGCTACTGGAGCGTTATACATTCGAAATTTTAAGCGTTCTTATTTTGAAATCCCATACAACAGAATAAAACATCTGCTCATATGTCTATGGCTTGGCAATAAAAATATCAGAGCAACAGTTATTACCCGTACACATGAACAAACAACCTGCACCCGATGAACTTTTGAAAATTATTTTTTGCCAATGCAAAAAAGGATGCGGCGTTTCATGTGCAGAAAAGTTGGTTTATACTGTAACTCTACTTGTTCTGGGTGCTCAGGTGAATGGTGCAATAACAGTCCACCAATAATTGAAGAAGATGAGGATGACATAGATCACGATGAAGATGTAATTGATGACGAATAAAATTAATATTATAATTATTTTACCTATAAATGTAAATATTTTCAACTATTTATGTAAATGTATAAGAATATAATTATGGTGCCGTTTTATGTTTATAAACATAATACATTGTGTAATACATTTTTTTGTATTTAATTCTACTTTTTTCAATTTATATCTTATAAATTAGTTTATAAAAACTGCAATGTTGTAAAGGGTGATTTTTAAAAGTTGAAAAGTTGCAAAATTATGGCAAAAAATTGTTTTCACCTATAGCACTCATAACAATTGATTTTTAAGGGTTGAAAATGTATGAATTTGTATTTTAAAGTATAAAAAAAATCACTATTTAACTAATCCAAACCAAATTTCACTCATCTTAAGATTTGTAATATTATTTTACAATTTTTGAAAATTAGGGGTAGTTTTCAGCCCTAAGAACAATCAGGATTCATCGGCATGACATAAACTATAAAGCAGAGGGTGAGTTGAGCTTAATTCCAAATTTTTATGCAAATCGTTCCAAGGTGAAATCATTTTCTTCGCATTACTAATTTTTTTATATTAATCTCTAATAAGGGTCGCTTTTTAAGGGTTGAAATATGATGGAACTTTATTCAAAAGCACGAAACTATCATTATTTAATTAATTCAAACCAAATTTTACCCATATTCAGATATAATATGTTATTTTATAATTTTTGACAATTAGGGGTAGTTTTCACCCCTAAGAACAATCAGGGTTCGTCGACATGACATAAACTATAAAGCAGCGGGTGAATTGAGCTTAAATCCAAATTTTTATCCAAATCGATCCAAGGCGAAATCATTTTTTTAGAATTAGTAATTTTTTACATTAATCTCTAACAAGGGTTGCTTTTTAAGGGTTGAAATAAGATGGAACTCTATTCAAAAGTATAAAATAATCATTATTTAACTAATTCAAACCAAATCTTACCTATATTCAGGTCTAATATGTTATTTTATAATTTTTGACAATTAGGGGTAGTTATCACCACTAAAACCCCTCAGCGCACTTCGGTTCTATATAGATTTTAATCCTTGGGCTATTACCTACCTTCTGCTAAAATTTCAACTGGATACATGCAGGACGAAAAAATTGCGAGGTTTTAACTTTTTTCGAGCTTCATTTCCTGAACTATTATCGCCTCCTTAGACAAACCTGTCTTACGCAAACAACTTTGTTGCGAGACAAATAGTTGAACGATATTTTATACAATGTCTATACCCAGGTATGGATTTATTTTTGTCCAAGTTATATTGGTCCACTATTTCAAATGCAGTTCAAACAGACATGTATTAAATTGGATGTTCCGTTTTAATTTGGTTCAATCTGTACATATTTTTATTTGTTTTCTTAAAAGGCTCATATTTGTCTATTTTTAATTTTGGAATCCCATTTGAAATACTTTTACCACATGGTTTTAGCGCGCCAAATATATCGAGTCAATGTTCCGCGTGTGGAAAATCCAATATTAACACAACTGGATCAGCTTCACTTGGTTTAACGTGGCTAATAAAATGTAACCAATTGGTGAAAATGTGACTCTGAATCCAGCCAGATACATGTCAGGCAGCTATTGTCCCTGGTGGAGCGACGTTGAGCAATTCTGCCTTCATATTTTTTCGGGGAAATATGACCATAGGGGGCACAAAACTACCAGCCGCATTCATACGGGTAACCACAGTCACTAGTGATACTCTTTGTGCAGAAGTAACGGTCCCTACCTTCTTTTTACCTTTTAAGGTGATTATTTTGGTATGCTTTGATTGTGCAGACGTTATACCTGTCTCATCTGCATTATAGATTCGACAGGGATTAAATTTCTTTGGAAAACACTGGTGGACGCCCCATATTGGTTTGAATAAGCTCTTCAGGTCTTATTTTATTTTTTACGTAGTCTTCCAACGTGCTCTTGGGTACATTTCTTTGTTTTTAACTGCAGTAACAGCCGCATGCATGGATTTACTGTCCCATTTCTTTACTACAGACATAGTGCAAAAATTAGAGCATAATTTTTTCTTTTTGTTGACGAAAACATTAAAATATAATTGTTAACACGACCTTATACTTCATCTAACTTAGATAACGACTTACGTCATTATCTACATCAGAGATCGAAGTTGACATAGTTGCCAAAGTATAAAAAAATCCTAACTCCACGTTAAATCAAATAGATTACATAATTATTGCAAAAGTATTACCATCTCTTTTCAACGACTATTTAAATTCTTACGTGACATTTTTGAAATAAAACACACTAATTTTGTTTTAAAAATAACAGATTTTATTAAATAGGTAAAAGTATAAAACAAGAGATATTCACTTTAAAATTCAAAATAATGAAGTACAAAAAGTGTCAACACCGCAGCTGTCAATTAAGTGTTACCAATTTATGCCAAAATTTTACCTTCGTTCGATTACAGTTACAGTGTGTTCCGAACAAATGTTCTTGATAAAAACGCTTTATAATACATTTATACAAATTAAATGAAACATATTATTGTGTATATCTTTAAGTTAACATTAATAGAAATTTTTAAATATTATTTCTACGCGTATTATGAAAAAAATATGTCTAGTGGCTTTAATGCCAGTGTACTCGCTAAAGTGATTCTAAAAAAGAACACACCTACACCCTAAATATTTTGTGTTGGTATCATATGACGTCACAGGCTATGACGCCGATGACGTACATCGTTATATAAATTAGATGAAGTTGTAACTACGTAGAAATGATAGTAGATAATCTATATAAAAACAATTAAAGAAATATTTTGTCCTAATATCGGATAGCTGATATTAGGACAAGTGCGACCACCTGATCCCTGATATTAGGCCTATTATCAGGAGCGCCTAAAAGGAGGATTTCGCAGCTTGTGCCGTGACGTCACACTTGACAGATATGAACATGCAGTGACGTCACCAATCATGTTGTATTAAATCCATCGAGCAATAAGACAAAAGAGGGAATCTAATCGTTATAAAAAGGAGACCAAAAAAGTGGCCTCTGATGGCGGACACATCCGGAAATGCAAAGGCGCTAAATTTAAATTTTCCAACACTTGTTAACAATACCTGTAAAATATTTTTCAGACAAGAAAGTTTTAATGAAATATCAACGATAATAGTCTAAAAAGTGACATAATTGGTAAAAAACTTCAATATAAATAAAATTTCATGTGACAGTTGGGACAAACAATAACATAACCAAACTAAATTTGACTTCTTAAACAAGGAAAGAGACTGTCTTTCCTTGTCTAAAGTGGCCTCTCAAGATGGCACTTCCTGTCTATCAATATGTTTACCCCTTCTACCTTTACATTCCCTCTTTTGTCTTATTGCTCGATGATTAAATCCAATAAGATCGTCGTTATGATAAGGGAAGTTTCTTCACCTCCGATTAATTATTTATCTGGCAGATGAAAAAGGTAGCTTTTCAGTCCCGAATAAACTTACCGATAGATAAAATGTCAAATATTTATTTGCCAAATAAAGTACGGAATAAGTTATAACATATATAACTATAAGGTATAATATTTGAGAGAGGATCGACAATTGTAATTAGTGTAATGAAGAATTTTTAAAAAGTTTGGATTAAGTAAACCAACAGTGATCGGTAAACATATTGTATAAACAGTTGTTAATAAAAGATTAAGATTTGATTGGGTCTGAAACACCTTATTACACCCAAGACAAAACACTCCCATTTTCTTTTATTTTTGAAGAAAGAAATCTACAATTAAAATACCAAAGAATTGACCGTCAAAAAATAATTTCTTAGGTTATACCAAAAATCACGTGCTCATTGATCACGTGCGTGTGGTGACATCAATTTAAGTTTAGAAACTGATTAGTGACGTCCACAGCACGATCTGCGAAGTCCTCCTTTTAGGCGCTCCTCAATTATCACCTGTTGTGAAGATTATGTTTATGGATTAAAAAAAACCTTAGTAATCCTCTGTCCAATTAAAGTAGACATTATAGACTAACTTAAACTACATAGTCAAATTTAAAAACTTACCAGAATGTGTAAAAATTGTGTTGCTACTAGCACATGTAAAAACACGTAATACAAAAATTCGGATAACTTACTCTAAACTCTAGTGCCCTCTATGTTTTATTGGAGACGCTAAAATAATATTCGACGACCTGGGTTTTGCTCCATGCTAAACTGGACATAGGTTTCTTGTTAATCAGATTACAGGTTTCTTTAAAACAGAACTATCCAGAGATGAACTATCCGATCCGATATTATGGCACTTTACTAAAGCCAAAATAATAATAGTTATTTTATTGTAAGCTTCTAGATATATACTAACAATATATTTACCTTTTTAGATACTGAAAACAGCGTATTCTTACCTGACATTCGTTTATAAATATAAAGACGAGATTTTGGGCTAAATTATGGCTTTGTCTACGGATATGACTATGCTTTCCTCAATTTATAATTGAAAAATGCTATTTTAGTCTAGTTTATGGCTTAAGCAATGTTTGTTATTGTGCTTTCGTTGAATTAAACACCAGCTAATAAAATACACTTGCATTAACTATTAGTTTTATTTATTACCTCGAAGATGTCTTTCTTAGGGCATCTACACTTTGTACTACCATCATCATTATCAGCCGTTTTGAGTCCACTGCTAGACATAGGCCTCCCGTAAATAATTCCAATGTATTCTATCTTGAGCACCCTGAATCCAGTTGTGCTGAATGCACTTGATGTCATCTGACTACCTTATTGGAGGACTTCCTCGATTACGATAAGCATCATGTCTAGGTCTCCACTCCAGAATTTTCTTTGTCCTCCTTCCATCTTTTACTGGCAACATGACCCGCCCAGTTTCATTTCAATGTTGTAATCCTTTGAATTCTGTCAGTAACACCAGTTTTTTCTCCTTACTATTGTATTTGATACTCTGTATTTGAGGGATATATTCAGCATTGACCTCCCCATTGTTCTGTGCCACTTCATATTTTATTGATTACTTTTCTGGTAAGGGTCAATGTTTCTGCTCCATACGTTAGAACTGGGAGTACACATTGATCAAAGACCTTCCTTTTCAAGCACATGGGAATCTCTGATCTAAAGAATTCTCTCAGTTTTCCATAAGCCACACATGCCAGTCCTATTCTCCTGTTTAGCTCCATTGTTTGATTATCTCTTACTAATTTAATCTCGTGGCCCAGATATTTATAGCTATACACCTGTTCAATTTGCGTGCCGTTAGTTGAGATGTTTTTCTCTCGTGTACACGAGCTCTGAAGGTCTTGAAGAAGCTGGCAGGCATGATCTACCCGGTCTGTAACAAGGATTATGTCATCTGTAAATCTCAAGTTGTTCAGAAACTCTCCATTTATGTTGACTCCAATATTCTCCCAATTATTGTTTCTCATAGCACTCTGCAACAAAGCGGTGAATAGCTTAACAGAGAAGGTATCTCCTTGCTTAATACACCTCTTGAAGGGAAATGTATTTGTGTTGCCATAATACATTATAACTGTAGCTGTTGCGCTATTTTATATATTCCTAAGAAGAGTTGTGTACCTATGATCAATACTGCACTAAGTAATACAGCTTAGGTTCCAGTCTGTTAGTAACTATTCTCATAAAGAGCTTATATAAATAAGATAACAAGCTGATAGGTCTGTAGTTTCCAATTTCTGTTGCATCTCCTTTTTTGTGGAATATTATCATATTGGCACTATTCCATTTTTCTGGTTTAACTCCTTCAAAGAGGCAGGCATTATAAAGGGTTTTTAAAGCTTTTATGACGCATTCGCCTCCTAATTTTAGCATTTCACTTACAATGCCATCTTCTCCAGGTGATTTGCTGTTATTCATACCGTTCAACGCTGATTCAATTTCCTCTTCGGTTATATCTGAAAGTTCCTCTGGTCCTTGATTTTGTATGGCTGGGATTTCCACCTCTGGGATGTGAGCATCTTGACTATATAATGTTGTACTACCAAGTTGTGCCATATATATTCAACTTACATTACAGAGCCACTTTCAAATAATTGGTGTTAATATTATCTGAGATCTGCGAGTACTAGTCAACAGAAGATATGAAAGTGTATATATATAAAAAAAAAGAATTCAAGTGGGAGTGAGAGATAAGTCTTAAGGAGTTTGGAAATTTGAAATATAGAAAGGACAATTAAAGAGAGAGAAGAATGGAGAAAAGTAGTGGAAACAGCAAGTCTCGCTAGAAACTGTAATTCCAAACCCAGACTGGGACGATCCCCCACACAAAAAGGATCTTGAAGTGAAAACAGCTTTAGCTTCTTCCCATGTAATGCAAAAAAACTATAAAACTATTAAAAATTTATATTATCTATAATATATAAGCTACATTCTTAAATATACTTAAAAACAACATCCTTTTTATCAGCCACTGTCTGTAATTCTAGTTTCACTGGACACTGTAGCCAAAAACTGAGTAATTCTTCTGTATAACCTATTAAAAAATACATTTTTCTTGGTGTAATCGCTCTCGATATTATACCTGCTATTCTAATAATGTTATGTTGTCTTTTGATGATAACTTCACTACCAAAGAGTCCTTGCCAGGTTCCTACCATAAACTTTCGTATAAATACATCCTCTACAGCGGTTTCTGAAGGTCTGAGTCCACCATCAACATTTGCTAAAAGTAGAATAGAATATTTATATGTACAGTCTCCAAAATGAGATACATATGTGTAAGCCTAAAGAGAGGAATTAAGTCCTCTTTGCTTAGAAGCCATACAATATCCGCTAAGGAAAAATAATATATACTGTAGGATAATGTTAAATAAACTTTGGTAAATAAACTGTCTTTTTAATGTGAAAGTGTAATTAACAAAAATGAGTACTGACTCCAAAAAAAATAGTTACAAACAAAAGCCATTTCATTCATGGCCCATTGTTCTCGCATCATTTTTAACTGTTGAATGGTCCCTTGGTAGCTTAAGGTGTGTTCATATATATTCTTCTTGCTACAATACTTATATAGTTTATCAAATCTTAGAATTTGCTTAATACATTAGCTAACAAGTAACTGTCATATATCATGCTTATTATTTCCCTAGACATCTATGACTCTTCAGGTTATAGTGAACCACAATAATACCATCCACTAGTCATTATTATTTAAATATAAATTAAACAATAATATACCTACAAGTATTCCATGAATTCCAAGATTTTCTGTGAGCTATTTGCCAAGGGGGATTAGCCATTTCGTACGTTAGCGGAAAATCTCTTCTCGATGTGATCTTGTATTTTCCTGACTGGGATTTGTGGCAAACTGCACTAGTCTGTATACAACGAGATACATTGTGTTGAATTTTTAAATGTTGTAACAACACCTAAAACAGAAAACAATTAATTTATATTTTAGAACGTATGCATTTATTTTACGTTTCTTATTACACTCATTTCTTTTAATAAATAAAATAGATGTTAATAAAATTATCAAATAAATAGGTTTAACAGGTCTGAGTTTAATGCACAGTACATAGCTCTCTAGTAAGGCAAGTCCTATAAGAAAGGTTTGTTAGAGTTACTAGCGCCAAATGCGGACGGGCCAAAACTAATTTTATTTGGCGGCCATAGAGAAATAACAATAAGTTGGCGGCTCATAGAAAATAAATATAATCAAAACTTATTTTATGCCAAAAATATATTTCTCGGCCCCAAAAAAATAGCATACACTTGGGCATTTTGTATATAAATGAATAACAATATTAGACAGAGAGAGTATATATTATGATACAGGAAAGTTTATATTTATTATTATATAACCCCAACAGGATGGTGTGTTTTCACAGTTTTTGTAAAATTTTTTACTTTTTCTTTGTTTACTCCATAAATATTTGTATTTATATTTATTTCTATAAATTTCATATGATTTTGTAAATAATTTTATATATTTATAACATTTTTTATAGTAATTTCCTATTTTTTACGAATTTTTTTCATTTTTAAAGGTTTTTTTAGGAATTTGTTTAGTTTTATTACCTTCATTTACAAAAATAGCCTTTTTTAATTTTTTTGGCTGTCCAAAAACAATTACAAAAATAGCGTTTCCCCTTATACGTCCATGGTTTTCCCGGTTTCCTTGATGTTTACATTTTTTGTTCAGTTCTTCATGTTTCCATTGTTATTTCATGTAATGTGTTTGATTCCATGATTAGAAATCACATCGTCTAAATTTTAAAATTGTACCTTTTTGTTCGGAGCCAGAGATATGTAAGCTCTGTTCGGAGCACTATTTAAGAACAATCCGTCATACAAAATATTCTTATAGAAATATGCCGCTGGCATTCACATTCATAGGATACGATCAAGGCATCAAGGTTAGTAGATATTTAAGTAAGTTGTCTCTCATGCTTACGTCACTCATACGACAACGCCAAATTTGACAGTTGATGGACAGTTGTCTGCACGTCTGAGTTTAAGTTCACGTTTGTATTCATATATTTTTTGTGGAATTTTCCCATAGTATCATTAGTTCGTTTATTTGTTTAGTTATTGTTTAGTTTTTATTTTTAAGTATAGGTATAAGGACAATATTATTTATAGAGACTTATTATAGTTATTTGTGTACATAAACACTTGTTAAATGTGTTGTCATAGCTGTGTTTTATTTATCAGACCGATAAACCCAGGAATTAAAAATAGTTTCTATTATTTAAAAATTCACGGTCATGAACTAAAAAACCTATAGCCTGAAGATTTGTGCTTGAAGGGCTAATCATTTTTTGTATTTTAATCTAATAATAAATTATTTATATTACCTATTTGTTTTTTTGCCTACCACAAGATATGATAAGAATGCTGCAAATTCCAGGAAAAACATAATAAGTAAGTTCCTACATATTTAGTATTTTTGCTTTTGAACTTTTTCTACTGTTTTGTTTTGGGTTTTTCTGCGAAATAAACTGTTATCTTCATTTAAAACACACAATATTATCAATATAATCAATTCTATTTTTTGTCATCAGACTATTGATATAAAAAAATTGATATAATTACTAATATAAGAACCACTTAACGTCCCTATACCCAAGAAAATCCCAAAATATATTGCAAAACCTAAGTTTTTGAAACTTTTATTAGCATTGAAGCTTATGGCAATTTGAAAAGTGTCGTATGGGTGACGTATTCCCGCCTTTAAAAAGCGAGCATTTGATTGGTCTATAGTTACGAGACAACCTACATCTACTAACCTTGGGATACGATAGGATTTTTCACAGCACACTACCACCTAGCAGTGCCAGTCCTGTGTTAAAGAGTTAAACAACGATTGGTGCAGCGCCTAGTGCCACGATGCGTAAGTATATATATATATGGTGGTAAATTCAAAAGGCAACTCATTTTAAAGTAAGGGACAGTCAATATAATCCAAGAATCTTTATTCTATACGATAATATGTATACATTTTTCGTTACTATTTGGTTTTTCTTGTTATGTTGAGGTTATATTGTTATTTTCCATTCCATTAAAATGACAAAAAGGTTAAAAACAAATGAAATAATAAAATCTTTATTTATAAAAAAGTTTTTTAACCCCTACCTATTTATAATAAACAAATACATCTTCAAAGGTCATTTTAGTAAAAAGCTGCCTTTCTATATTTAATAATAATAATAATAATGTACTTACTTTTGTGCAGTTCTGCTTTAAAATCAAGTGGATTATATCACCGGTTTCAGGAATTATTTGTCTCAACGCTGCTTCGGAGATTATTGTTGTGAACTCTTTGAGGCTGCGTCCTGTTGCAAGGTTTCTGAGAGTTGGTGTGTCTTGCGTGAGGTGTACGTGTAATGACTTTTCTCATGCAAGTGCTTTATTGCAGTATGGTGTTAAAAAGTCTAGCAACTCACAATAGGTTGGGTATCCATTAGCAAATAATTTCGCCAGTCATCAGGTGAGCCTCTTAATTCTTTCAGTAACGAGACGCAGGAATACTGGCTTCATTTCAGTTTCATTTTTTCTTGTCCCCTCAATCATTAAATCACTAGTTTAAAAAATAAATGAAAGAATCAGTGTTTCCTCTATAATGAAAATACATAATGTCTCTTAGGATTCACTAAACAAACTTCACCAACTTAGGATCTGGAATGGAACTGAGATAGAACGCTTCTTTCTTTCTTCTTATTTTTATATAGACATGACTCTGTTTGTTTTTCAATGTGCCTCCAGTAAGTTGTCATTCCATCGTTTTCGTGGTCTTCCTATTGAGGAACCGTCTTTACTACTCTATTTGTTGTCATTCAGCTTATATGATTGTTCCATTCTATTCTGCTCTTCTATTTCTTACCCAGTTTTTGACATTCTGTCATATCTGCACTTCTAGCTCTGTCCCATATTGTCTTACCATCTCTTTCTTTCTCCCCTTCCTTTTACCCTATCAGGGTGTCGGATTTGGGCTAGCTATTTTAATTTCCATTTACCCACCTCTTCCATTCTTTTCTATTTCCGGCCATTATTTTCAATTCCTCGAGTGATTTTTGTTTAAATTTTCCCGCCTCTACTACTTGCTGTATCCATTTTTTTCTTGGTCTGCCTTTTTCTTTTTCCGATATTTTTTGCTTCATAAACTTTTTTTGTTATTCTATTGGATTGCATCCTCGTCAGATGCCCATACCAGTTCATTTGTCTCTTTGCTATTTTGTTCATTATCGGTTCCTGGTTGGCCATTCTCCTAATAGTCTCGTTGCTTAATCTATCCCATTTTGTCTTTCCAACTATCCTTCTTAGATGTAAACGTGATTTCAAATTCTTTGCAGCAGTGAACTGTTTCAAACAAATATCACACTTGTAATGCTTTTCTCCAGTGTGTGTTCTCAACTGTAATTTCAAAGTACTTGCTGCAGTAAACTGTTTCATACAAATTTCACATTTGTGTACATTGAACTTTCTTAAGGGTTAAACAACTAGACGGGAGGCAAACCCTTTTAAAAGATAACTATGACCTCGTTAATCATCAAGAAAATCTGGTAAATGTTCGTAAGAATCTGCACAACGTTGCTTAAGAGCGTAGGCGCAAAATTTCGGGCCAATGCACTTTAAATGCATCCATTTTTTTTAATTCTGAGAAAACTCCCAAGTATTTTTGTAAAATTTAAACGCAGAATTAAAGATTACATTATTACTGAGGGCCGAAAGTCCCTGAAAGCTTCTATAATGTTTATTTTGTTAAGTTACAGGGGTGAAAAAGAAGTGAATATTTAGTGAAATTTTTAATTTCAAATATCTCATTCAAAAAAAACTTTTGAGTAATTCTTAGAGACTTCCGGCCTTGGTAATAATATAATCTTGCATTCTGCGTTTAAATTTTTCAAAAATATTTACTAATTTTCTCAAAATTCGAAAAAAAAATTATTGCATTTAAAAAGCATTGGCCCGAGTTTTTGCGACTACGTCTTAATACCTATTTTTGATTTGACTTGAGGAACTTGTATATAAATAAGAAAAAAATTTGATTTAATAACTTTATTTATTTTATTTTATAAATTATAACTTGTGTATGATAAACAGCAACTGTTTGGAACAAATTTTACACTTATAGAGCTGTTTCTCTAGTATGTCTTTTCAAATGTGACTTCAAACCACTCGCTTGAGTAAACCGCTTGAAACAAATTTCGCACTTGTAAGGCTTTTCTCCAGTGTGTCTTCTCAAATGTGATTTTAAATTCTTTGCGTAATGGAACTGTTTCAAACAAATATCACACTTATAAGGTTTTTCTCCAGTGTGTAATCTTAAATGTATATTCAAACTACTCGCTTGAGTAAAGTGCTTGAAACAAATTTCGCACTTGTAAGACTTTTCTCCAGTGTGTATTCTCAAATGATATTTCAAAGAACTGGCTGTAGTAAATTGCTTAAAACAAGTATCGCACTTGTAAGGCTTTTCTCCAGAGTGTATTCTCAAATGTTCTTTCAAATGAATTGCTTGAGTAAATTGCTTAAAACAAATACCACACTTGTAAGGCTTTTCTCCAGTATGAGTCATGAAATATAATTTCAAAGTATGAGCTGCACTAAACTGTTTAAAGCAAATATCACACTTGTAAGGCTTTTCTCCAGTGTGAAGTCTTAAATGTGATTTCAAATTCTTTGAGGAAATGAACTGTTTCAAACAAATATCACACTTGTAAGGTTTTTCTCCAGTGTGAGTCATCATATGTGATTTCAAAGTAAAAGCTGCACTAAACTGTTTAAAGCAAATATCACACTTGTAAGGGTTTTCTCCAGTGTGCACTACCAAATGTTTTTTCAAATCACTTGTTGAATAAAACTGCTTCAAACAAATTTCACACTTGTAAGGTTTTTCTCCAGTGTGCACTACCAAATGTGTTTT